CAAAAATGTATTGAACAATATAGTATTAAATATCATGATAATTTAAAACAACAAGAATTTATTAAATTAAAACAAAAAATAGATCAAATTAATAAATTAAAAAATAATAATTATTTAAATGAAAAAATGATAATTTTAAATCAACGACTTAATGATTGTGAACAACAAAAAAATAAATTATTAACAAATAGAAATTTAATTAAAGAAACAGAATTTACTCATATACTACAGGTACAATTACTTTAAATACAAAATAATAATGTTAAAAATTATAAATATTTCATTTTTAAGACGATTCAAATTATTTTGAATGATATACAGTCTATGTATGATGAAATATATACATTGTCAAGAAATATTGAAAAGAGCTATTCAATAGTCATCGATGAAACATTGAAAGAATTCCGTTATAAAATACAAAATATTTGGATGCTTGTTCAGGTAATCTAGAATGAAAATTTATTTCTAAAATTTATTCTAATTTAACAATTTATCTTCGAATTTTTATTTATTTAAAAAGGATCAGACTCAAAATTTAAATGATATTCAAGATGAAAAACAAAAATGTAATCATTTACTCGAACAATTACAAACATGGTTAGAACAGAAACAAAAAAAATTCACACAATTGAACGATACGAATTGTGATGAAAAAACTTTAATGGAAAGAATGAATAGAATAGAAGTAAAAAAAATATGTTTTTTCTTTTTAATTTCATTATTAAAACAATTATATTTATGTTTAATAATTTTAATTTAGTATGAATTAGATAGTATCAAAGATGGTTATTCAATATTGAAAAATGTACAAAATCTCAAAGAAAAACAGCGACGAGTATTAAATGAAAACGATGAACAGATTATTGATAAACGTGTTAAACAGTATCAACAACAACTACAAGCGATAGAAAAGTAATGAAGATGTCTTTATCTTCCTCTTTTGTCCATTCTATTAGCAAAATGACGAAAGCGTAGACTCAATTGAGTCTAAAATTTTACGAGAGATAGAATATCGATGTGTATATTTGCCTCGATTCTCTGACATGTGCTTCTATGAGTTTGTTATAGACTCGGTTTTCGTCTCTCACTCAAAAATTCTCTCAAAAATCTCAATAAAAAGTTTTTTTCTAAAAATATATTTTTCTTCTGGAGATATTCAAAAAATGTCGAAAATTTTTTTTGTAAAAAGTCGATTTTTCATTTTAAAAACCTTTTCACGACGATAGTTGATGTTGAAAACACATTAAAAAAATTTAGAACTTGAGGAGATAGATTTGTGTCAAAAATTTGAACATGATCAAGTGGTCATAGCGTGACTAAATTTGAATTATTCATGTTTTCCACAGTTCAAGTCACTTTTGGCAGAACATTTGCGACGATGCTCATATCTTTGCGGGGAGAGACTTATCCTTAATAATATTGTATTTAAGTGAACATCGACATACACGTTCATATTTTTCTTAGTTTGCATGTTGAAACACTTCAATCAATGAAACAAATTCAAACGAAATGGAGTAAAATGAGAAATTTATACACAGAAGTAGAGCAATTACTAGAGAAGAATCAATTGTTATGGGAAAAAAGTGCTGATAAATATAGTATTACACCTGAGAATATACATAAACAACTTCAAATCTTACAGGTAAACATATAAAAACAGTCTGTAACAATTCAATATAGTAGTTATTTTTATTTCTAGTCACTAATACGTGATCTTGATAGTAGAACACAAATTTTTGATTCTCTAAAAACAATGGCTGAAACATTGTCTCATAAACAAACCATTGAAAAAGTGAATAAATTAATAACGACAAAGAATAATTTGATACAAAACGTTCAGGTATGATAAAATCATATATAAAATATTTTAGATAGACAAAATTTAATAATTATTTTTCTTTTTACATTAAGAATGAAATTGAACAACGACAATATATTTTGACACAATATAATCATTTTATTGAACAAGTAAATCAGACACAATTAGCAGCAATTAAATTATTAAATGAACAAAATCAACAATTTTCAAAACAAACATTAATAGAAGATCCAGATGTTAAATGGGAGGTAGATAATCTAGTAGAATATAGAAATAAATGAATACATTACGTTTTATTTTTAGAAATTTAAACAATCATCGTCCATTATCACAACACGATATGATGATGTTCATCAATTAGGAACAAAATTAATGACAGAACATTATAAATATAGAAATATTTGTCGTTTAATCTCGTCGACAATTGATATGGGAGAAAAAAATCAAAAATCATTTGAATCATCATTATATAATATGAATGTATGGTTTCTTTTCATTAATTAACTATTTTCTACATTATTAATTTATATTTTTATTTAGAAAATTTATTTAAATGTTATTGAACAATATCGTCGACGTCAAACACATTTCAAAAATTTTGAAAATCAAATTGATATAATTGAAAAAACTTTTCAAAATTTTAATCATATCAATAGTATAGAACAATTGAATCAATCGTTCAATGTAATGAACATTCAATAGTCTATTTTTCATTATTTTCTAATAATTATTTATTTATTTAGATGTTCATAGAGACTATTGAAAAAGTTCAATCAAAATTACAATATTTATTTGATCAATCAAACAATAATTATGATTTTAACAATTTAAATTTACGTTTAAAATCTTTAAAGACAAATGTAAAAATAATATTGTGACATTTATTATTAAAAATGATATTTATTTTGATATTTATTTTTTAAAGGTTCAACATCAACTAGAATATAAACGATCAATTTTAATGGAAAAAAGTGAAAAACAGACAATTGTTCAATCATCATCTAACTGGTTAAATGCAATAATTAAAAATTTAGACGTATTTAAAAATGAACCCATTCTTTTTCAATATGATTTGATAAGAAATCGTTTAAAAGTAAAATGTTTTTTTTTATAGTACTATTTAGTTACTTTTATTTAGTGTCTTCTTTTATCTTTTTTATATTTCAGGATATTTCTCGTGAAATTCATATACGAATTGATGAGTTAAAAACAATCAACAGTGAGAACAACGAATTGATTGAACAATTCAAAAATGTAGACAAAGATATTAATGTTATTTTGAATGAAAGAGAAAATGTAAGTATCAGAGTTGTTGATGGACAATACTTTTTACAAATCGTCGCGTTCACATTAGAAAAATGCATTTCATTATAGTATAAAGCCCACAGTTTTTCAAAATAAGCTTGTAACTACAATAAATCAAAATTTCTTCTCATTAACATTTCCTAGTATTAAATACCCAAAATTTTAATTAAATATGTATAAAAACAGATTATTTTGAAGTCCAACGATCCTCCTTTATCAGAAATCTATTTCTTTAACCAAAAGTCCGATCGGCGCCAAACTTTCAGGGAATGTTGACCATGTCAAAGTATGACACAGATGGGCAAGTCCGGTATTTTTTCAGTCCCAGTCTACTAGAGGCTAAGTCTGAATCAGTCTATGCAGCTAAAATGTTCCAATTCAGTTCCAGTCCGCTAAGCTTTAAGTCCGATGTCGGTCACAGCATACATTGATTTCCATTTCGATTCTTTTTCTCGTTTTTTATCAGAGAGACACTGTTTCTTTACATGGCTACAGTAACAAACAAACATAATAATAAAAGTTTTTTTGAATGTTAAAAAACAAGAACAGGATAGGACTTTTTGTTTCTTTTTTTTATATGAAAGTGAAAAGAAAAGCCTAATTCATAAGAGAAAAGTTACATTTAAGTAAAGTAAGATATGAGAGGATTTTCTCGTCATTCTTGATCGATGAAGCCGTATAAGAAAACCGAATTGAGAGAACATTCTTTCAACCGGAGCTGAAGTACTGGGTAGTAACTTCTTTGTTGCTAGTGTGTTCAACATCGAGTACAGAGAAGATTTCTTGAAAATTAGACTACTGTCTATACAAATGTGAAAACAAATCAGTCAAAGAAAAGTTCAAGTCTTTTATGCCTTCAGTCCCAGTCCAGTCCCAGTTTGTGTAAAAAAAAGCCTATCAAATTTCTTTTAGTTTTCATCTGTCTCAATGATGGTTCAGTTTCTTAGAGAAATACTAGCGTTTTGACCATGAAGAGCCAAACTTTTAAAATTTTGTTCCGGATTAACGTGAACCATTTTTCGTTAAAACGTCTAAGAATGTCTTTCAGATTTTCAAATATTCTTAATGTTATTTACCTTTGGAAGCGCAATTTAAAAATACGATTCTGCACTGTTGAAGTGACAATATTTTGTCTACAAGATAAAACCATCCCAAACTCTCTCTAGCATCAAAACATCGCTCAATATATTTTTAAAATGTCGAGATCTTAAACATCCATTTTAAACTTTTCAAAAACGTTTTTCAAGCAATTCTAGTACATTATCAAAAATGATATCAAATTATTTAGATTCATACAAAACTAGTAACAATCGATAAAAATGTAACTATAATTGGTCAAGACGTTAAAAAATTACGAATGAAACTTGATCAAGCATTGCGTAATACGACTTTTTCAATTGAACAGCAATTGTTAGAAACAGAGGTAAATATTAAATTTATATCCGCATCAATATCAACAAAATGTATCCAATATTCTGTAGAAATTAAACAAAAATAATCTACGAGATAAACAACTGAATTTGAGTGAATATAAAAAATTACTAACAAATATTGAACAAAACATAAGTAAAATCGATAAAAATGAATATTTCAGTCATATACGGTAAAAATACAGTCGTGTTTATCGATTTTACCTCATTAGATTTCTTTTTTTTCCTTGTTCACTGATATGTTTTTAGCTCTGTTGAACAACACATAAATGAAATTCAACAATAAGAGTGATTTAAAAATAATAGAACTAAAAGAAAATCAAACAAAATAGTTAATGAATTACTAATAAATTTAGAAATGATCAATAATAAATTCTCGAATTAAAAAGTTATGCTAAATGAAATTAATAAGATAAACATAAAATGATCTCAAGTTGTTTAATGTAAGAATTATTTTTCGTTTATCGATTCATGTAAATAAAAAAAGAAGAAAACAGAGAGATAAAAGAACGAATTCGATAATTGAGTTGTTTATTATATGCGCGTGTGTATTCAGACAAAGTTCTAAGAATGAAATAATCTCTCTAAGTTTCACCTACAAAAAAAAATTTTTTTGTATTAAAAAATACTCGTTTATGCCTGTCTATATCCATTAGATTTAAGAGACAACTGAAATACTAATGCTAGTGCACATACATATTAGTCAATGTTATCTTATTGTCTGCTTTTAACAAAAATAACTTTTTTCTCTAGTAGAAGCAAGCGATAGTTCATTGTTTTTTTTGTTGTTGTTAACAGTAAGTAATATACTAATTTTATTTTGTTGTGTTATTTTTTTCTTTTTAGTTTCGTATTTCTCGATTTTTGTGTGTGTATTCGTTGGATATTCTCTGTTTTTAGAATAACTCCAAAAAAAAGAGTGTTACTTTATTGGTGACAAAAATGAATTATTGTATGTAACTCGGCATTTAACTGGCTTATTAAAATTAAATCAGTTATATGCTCTTAAGTAATGCTTGAGTTTAACAGCTTTTTCTTTTTCTTTTTTGATCACACAAATGTATGCGAATTCTTTTCTTTCTTTTTTTTTTGCACTAAACTCGCTTTAGTTATCATCACTAATTAGATTCAACTATAATAACAGAAAAATTAAAAAAAAAAACGCAACTCCTAGAGCGGAAGGCGATTATAATTATTGCCATTGATTCTATAATTAATTATTAAAAAAAAAAGAAAAATGATTTATGTTCGCTGCTAGTAAAACATAAAAAAGAAATTAAAATGAATATTAATATTTCAATCTATTTAGACACTTAGTCGAGAAATTCAAGGTGAAGAAAATCATTTAAATACACTTGCAACAAAATTACGGACAATTGCGTCCGATTTAAGTGTTCAAGAACGACAACAAGCAGAATCAGAAATTAATAAAATTGAAGTAATATTTTTATTTATTTATAATAGAAAAAAAAACCCAATAGTTCTAATGTAATAATTATTTATAATTAAATATATATATTTCAGGCTGAATTAGATCAGTTAAGACAACAAACAGAAAAACGAAAAGAACGTTTAAATATGTTAATTCAACAACGACAAGAACTCGATACAGCATCAAATCGTTTATCAACATGGATAGATGATAGACAACGTATGATGACAACTGAACAAACGATACCATTGAAATCAAGTGAAATTGAACGATTACATAAAAAACATTCTGTAAGTTAAAAAAAGATTATTTATCTATAAAACATGTACAATTGAATATGAAAATAAATAAAATAAAATATTTTTATTTAAGGATATACTTAATGAAATTAAATTTCAACGTATTACATTGGATAATATAATAAAATTGAGTGAAGAAGTAAAACATGGTTATTCTCGTGAAGGACAAAATGAAATTGATTTTCATATGAATGATATTGTTCGAAAATTAAATAAACTTGATGAAATAATTAATGATCGTAATCGTCTATTGAATGGTGCTAATGAACAACGACATGAATTTGATCGTTTAATACAAAAATTGACAGATTGGATAAAAACAATTGAATATCAAGTCAAAGAACCAGTAACAAATGATTTACAACAAACACAACTTACAATTAAAGAAAAATTAAAAATTATTAATGTATGTCTAGTTTATATTCATTTATCTCTTTCTCTCTCTCTCTCTCTCCCTCTTTATTTTTATTATTTTTTTAAAAATTAATTTTAGAATTTAATTCAAAATACGAATGATCGTACAAATGAAATTGAAGATTTAGCACGAATTAAAAATGTGATAACATCTACTTTAAGTGAATCAGATAGATTAATATTAGATGAAAAATATGCATCAATCAAAGAAAAATATACTCGGTACGAGACTATTTTATGAAATATTAACAATAAACTTATTAGTTTTAATTTTATTTTTTATCTAGATTATCTGATCATTTAATTATGCGTCTTGCTGCACTTGATGAAGCAAGTCAAGAACGTGCACAATTTGAACTACAATTTGAACAAATTCAACAATCAAATATACAATTACAAAATGAATTACAAAATTTACAACAATTATCTACAATTATGGATGATAGTCAATTAATCGAAAGTCCAAGAGGAAAATTAGGTCAAATGTCAATTGAAACACGTCTTGATCGTTTAAAAACATTAAGTGAAAAAATTGATGAAACAAATAATCATATTCGAGAATTAAGTCGTACACAACGTTTATTAACAAGTAAAGGTCATCGTCTAGAACAAATTGGTGGTGGTGGAAGTATTAGTGAATTAAGTTCAAATTTAAAAACAATTGAATCACAATTAAATAATGAAATTGAACGAATGGAACGTGCTGTTCAAGCTGAAATTAATTTACATGAAATTGAAAAAGAACTTGATATTTGTATGAATTCATGTGCTGAACAATTGAAATCTTGTCAATATCATCCAGAAAAATTAAGTATTTACCAAGTAAGAGATGAAAAAGTTGTTTATCTTTATATAATATTGCAAACATTTTTGTTTTTTCAATTCATCTATAGACTGTTTTCGATCGTTTAATGCAAGCAGAACATGAATTTGAAAAACTTTTAACACTTTCTGAACGTCTTGCACACGATATACCCACTGAACAATTTGATATAATTCAACGTTCTGTTCAACGACGTCAAGAACGTTTACAAACGTTAATCAAATCGTGTTCAAATTCAAAATTAAAATATGAACAAATGTTAAAAACACAACATAAATTATATGAAGAATTACTCTCAATTATTGATTGGTTAAAACGTTTAATGAACGATTTATCTTCTCCCATTGAATTAAATTTATCAGTGAATAGTGTTAATGATGCACAAGATAGTGTCACTGTATGTTTTAATTAAATATAATTAAAAAATCATTTAAAAAAAAGACTTATTTTATGTTTAGCAATTAATATCGTCTATTGAACAACGAACAGCACGTTTAGAGCAAATACTTCATGATGAACCAACGTTAATCAGTGATAAAGAAGAAACTTATACTCAAGAAATTCGAGAACGTCTAGGAGAACTTGAACATACAAAACAACAAATTCATGTAAGTCATTAAATGTCAAGTTAATCTCCGTTCTCCTCTATGTATATGAACTCTTTATAATAGATTATGTTAAACCAACGACGTCACATCTTAGAAGATATTCATCAACGTATGACACAATTTCTTAAAGCAACAAATGATGTTAAAACTGCTGTATGGTAAGTTGACCCTATGTCTCTTACATGAACATCAAACATAAATATCAATTTGTCTTTTTTTTTAAGTGATGCTGATTTTAAATTGGCACCATTTTTCGATGGATACGATCGTGCTCGTTTAGATTTGCATGAACAAGAATTAGAGGTATTTATTTTATACTCTTTCATGTCTTACATTTTGTTTGACGTAACGTCGTATATTTGTTTTAAAGACATTGGAACAAATTTGTAGTGAACAAACGTATAGACTCGATGAAGCAGGTAAACTGGCCGATTTATTACGACCACATTTGAGAACGAATGCACGGGATTTATGTGATAATCAAATTCGAAATCATCATCAAACCATCGAAGATTTAGGTATTGTAATGATATTAGTGATTTATGACAATGATTATTATCATAATTATTTTTTAGAGAATCGTATACATCAAAGACGAAAAGAATTACACGATATTCGACAAAAATCTCAACGATTTAATATAAGTGTAGCACATTTGCAATCGGATACAAATCGTTTATTAAGCATGATTGAAAAAGCACCGGATGTAAAATAATTAAGAATTTTCTTTTTTACACATTATTCTACAATTAAAATTGTTTTTTTTTTAAAATCTTTTCTAGAGTGCTGAAAGTTTAGTGTCAGAAATTGATTCAACATTCTCTGCATTACAATATCTTGGACGTGATTTAAAAAAATCATTGGATCTTTCAAGTTCAACAGATATTGATCGCGAATTAAAAGATGTTGCAAGTTCAGTAGAAACAGTTCGAGATAGTTTAGATCGTGCTAAACGAACATATGAGGTAAAACTAAATAAAATAAGAGAAAAATATGAAATGGATTGATTTTTGTTCTATATTTTATATTAGGAAAATGAAGCGATACGTGACAGAATTGAACGAATGTTAACAAAAGCAAAAACATTTGCTAATCGAAAACGACAAGAATTACAACAGAGTACGGATAGTGGTTATGCCAGTGTTGATTTGATGAGACGATCAGTAGAAATGAAGGTAGAAATAGTATTTTTCTATTTCATTTTAATTCTACTCATATTTCTTGTTATTTTATGTCTAGAGTTTTATAAAAGATGTTGATATGGAAACATCTGGTATAACTGAACTATTCGATCTGATAATAACATTATCTGAAAGAAAATATGATCCACAAATTATTCGATCACTCGAAAAGAAACATGAAGATGCTTTACACGATTTAAAAATGTATATACATTTAATTTCAGTTAGTTTTACGTTTTTAACTTAAAATAAACATTTTTTTTAGATTAAAAACAGAAACTGTAAAAAGTATTGAAATTATTGATCAACAAGCTCAAGAACAAGATAAATTACGACAAAACGCACGATCAATTTTATCATTATTACAACGTGCAAAAGTTAGTCTTATTGAAATAAGACCAACCACAAATGATGAAGCGGATCAAAAATTAAAGGTAAACGAAGTTGTTGTGTCTACAACATTTGTAATCATAGATTTATCTATTTTTTAGAAAATTGAAGATGATTTAACAACAAATTTAGATGAATTTCAAATTGCGGTGGAAGATTATCGTCGTGAGTACGAATATATATCGGATGATTTGGAAAATTTAGTTGGACGTGTGGGAGAAGATATGGCCGAAGTGAAGGTAAAGAGATTCTTGAATTAATTCTTCATTGAAAAAATGTCATTTTTTTTGTTTTATTTTCATTATTATTATTATTTAGGCTCGTTTCACGGAAAAAGAATTCGAATTAAATTCGTATCATGTGTTAAAGGATGAATATGAACTGTGTATTGAAAATATTCTAGCTATTACCCAAGTAGTTGAACATAAAACAAAAAATCCATCAAAAGATGTAAAAGAAAGTTTATACGTTTTAAAGGTAATTGTTCATATTCAATTTTTTTTTCTTTTTATTTATAAATAAATTGTCATCTAATTTTTTTTTCTTCTGATATAGGAATTGGGAATAGAAATGCAGACACATCGTCCGGTAATTGATCGTTTACAATTATTATCATCAACATTAAGTTCACAACTAACAGATCCAAATGAACGTGATCGTGTACGAAGACGTTTAAATGAGATGATGAGAAAATGGACAGAATTAGAACAAGAAATTTTAAGTGAAGAAGAAGATATGGAAGAAATGAAAAATGTAACAGAACAATATACTGTAAGTAATTAATTCATTTGTATCAATAAAAAACATAAAAAAAACAAAAAACGTTTTTATCAAGAACAAATGAATAGAATTTTTTAATCTTTCATATGTCCTATAGGACGTTAATGATGCTTGTGATCGTTGGCTTCGTCAAGCACGTATATTAAATGATGAACTATTAAATGCACATAATATGGATACATTTGACAATTTAATACCAAAAGCTAAAACTTCTATTTTCGAATATCAATCGTGTATTGAACATTTACAACGATTAAGAAATCGATTAAATCGTCTTATACAAACAAATCGAACACCAGAAGCAATAAAAAAAGTAAAATTTTAAAATTTTTTTATCCTATTGTTATCAAACATAGACTTTTTTTTATTTTATTTTTAAAGTTAAATGAAGTTGAAAGTGTGATAAAAGATTTAACAAATATTCGTGAAAATCTTGAACAACGTATTGAATCTAGTCAAAAAACACACTATCAAATGAATGAATTTGAAAAACAATGTTTATTTTATCAACAATGGTTAGATAATATTAGTCGACAATTAGAAAGTATTGATCAATTATTACCCGTAGAAAAAATACAACGATGTAATGATATTCAAATTGAATTAGAGAAACGAAAACAAATAATAGGAAATTTGTTACACGAGTATCCACATGTCTCACATATTAAACAAACAAGTACAACTATTCAACATTTATTGGCAAATATTGAACGAATTAAAATTAATGTGATTAATGGACAGCAAGTAAATCTCTTTTTTTTTTCAATATTTTGCATATAGATGAATATATAAATAATATACACAAATTTTAATTTTAGAAATATGAGCAGCAAAATCGACAACAACAAGAATTTCGAGGACGAATCGATACTCTATTTGAATGGTTAAAACAAATTCATTATTATGAACCATTAACTGATAAACGTGATTTTGAATCATTACAACGAGAATTAACAAGTTTAGATGAAAAATATGCACAAATTGAAGAAAATTGTCAAGAAATTGATAATTTACTACGAAATATAAACAAGTACGTATTTTATCATTTAAAGAAGAATAAAATATTTTTTTAAAAAAAAATTGATTTATTTTAGTTCTGGTTTGCCAACAGAATCAATTCAAAAACTTCGTCAGGAAATTGATCATGTAAAAGAACGGTATTTAGGATCATTAACAGAATTAGATACGAAAAAGACATTTGTAAAGAAATCTTTGAAAGTAAGTTGCATGTTGCACGTTAAATTTCTTAGTTGCATGAAAAAAAGCTGCATGACACACCTATTTCTAGGATGCTGATCAACAAAACAAAAAGTATCGTGATTATCAAGATTCACTTGATAAATTATCAACATTAGTTAAGAATGATCGAGCACCATTGAAAGTAAGATAAGATTAGAATTAGAAAGCACCAAAACATATTTAGGTTTTGTTCGAGTGTTCACCATTGATTATCTAATTTCTTTATATTTAGACCGTTGAAGAAGCCTTGCAATCACTGGATGAACAGATGATCAAGTTTGAAAGTCAAAATGAGGAAAAAGAAAGACAAAAACGTCAAAAGGAACGCGAATGGCATTTATATTTAGATGAAATAAGTCTATTACAAGATAAATTAACAACATTAAAACAACGAAAACCAAACATACACGATTCTATTGAAGATCAATTACATACCATAAGAGTATAATTTATTTCTCATAAAATTCTTAATGTTTTATAAATATATTGTATTTCGATTTCAGATTCAAGAACAAGAATTAGACCAATATCATTCGGAACTTTTGCATTTAAAACAAACTGGTCAGACGTTAAATATCGATGATCCAAAAATGCCTTTACCATCAGAAATAAATCTATTACAATCAATGGTACAGTTTTTAAAAGAACAATTTGAACAACGTCGTGAAACCATGACACGAGCTGACAAAAATCGTGAATTATATTTAACAGAAATGAAACTCTACGATGATTCATTGTTAATATCCACTGAGCGTTTAGGACGTGGTATACAAGGCATAAATAGTGAAACATATTCGAAATCATTGCATGATCATATCGAACATTTTGCAAACATGGAAAATAAACGTCATAATATCAATATTCTATATGAAAACTTAGATCGAGATACGAGACAACGTTATTCAAGAACACATCAACAGGAACTCGATAGAAAATCGAACGATTTACAGGTTTGTGTATGAAATATCATTAATACATTTTTTAAAAGGTATATTTTTTGTTTTAGGATAAAAGTACTACGCAAACAATTCACGCAGAACAAATATTAAGAAATTGGCGTGAATGTGAAAATCGTCTAGAAGACATTAAACAAATTCTGTTGACAATGCGTCAACAGATACCATCGATCAAACGTAATATTCCATTTGATCAAATACAGAACATGTGTCTCATTTATAAGGTATTGTTTGTCGAATTCTTCAAGTTATTGTTCTCTTACAGTAATGTTTTCCCGTATGCAGGATTCAAAACAACGTCTGCTTCATGTTGAACCAGACATTTTACATTTGAATGATGAAATTAATATATTATGTGGTGAAGTAAATGCAACAACCTTACAATCCGAACTCCAATATGTCAAAGATCAATTTATACAACTAACAAAAGAAATCAGAGAGAAATTTGAAGTGTAAGTTGAATTTTGATGTGTATGATGATTGAGTCATTCTAGTCAGTTATTTTCACTGAAGAATATTTCTGTTTGTAGTCACAAGAGTGCAATAAATCTGTCAAATGATTTAAAGCGAAGTTTATCCATATTAGAAGAAACACTTATTCATTGTTCAACTGATTTGAAAACACTTTATGATGGGAATATAAAAGATATTGGTCTGCTCAGACAGCAGTTAAACAAATTATTAGTAAGTTGTGCTCTAATTCCTTATTGAGTTCAAAAACGATAAATTTTATTATAGGATGTTCAAAAACGATTTGATAATAATGAAGATCATCGTTCACAAGCGTCAGATTTAATTCAACGATTATCAGTGTACAATATGTATGATCTTGAATCGTTACGCACATCACTGGAAAATATCAATCACAAATGGAATACATTGAAAGTAAGATTATTTAAAATTCTGACACAGATTTGTACGATATTGGAATTTTGAAACGAGTAGTATTACGAGTCCTTCAACATATATCTGATGAAAAATTAAACGTTAGTTTGTATCTTGATGGTTTAAGCGTCATTTTCCTTTTTCTGTATCAAATTTCAATTGTGGATGGATGTACATCAATTCAGTAAACAAAAATCTCATATTTTTCGTAGAAGTTACGAAAATTTGACTTTGATAGTACCAGGAAGCGCGTAAAAGATTTTTTTACACTGTCTAGTATATGGACTCTACCTTCTGTTCTGTTTGGAAGTGACGCTTTTGGAATAAGCACTTCTCTATATTGCAACGACGACTTCTACAACAACAGTGAGAAAGAGGTTTGAAACGGTCGTTGCCATATACGATGAAAAAAGCTCATAACAATTCCACTATATTGACGTTTAAAGTAAACGTCTAAGGAAAGGACATTCCAAAACCTTGAAAATTGAAAAACTATGGCGTCCCAAACTTTTGCTTATGACCTATCTTGATCTAACTATTTCGTGACAAAAATTTGAAAACACTTGCAATAAGTCTAAGTAATAACAATTTCTCCGTCAGAGGACGCTGACAAATTACATCTTAGAGTAACGAAAAGAGAGTTTCCCATGTACTAAAAATCGCATAAAAATCGTGAAAAGCCACACGATTAATCGTGCGCTTATTCGCGATTTATTGATGATTTTTTTCTAGGTATCAGGTCGAACCCATCTTAGGAAATACATATTTTTTTCTGTTTTTTTCATTGTTTATTATGCATAATGACATGTAGGTCGTCTTAGCACCAGCTGACGTCGGAGGCTTTCCGACGAGTCGATTTTAGACTAGGGTCGTAACCAAAATTTTGGTATGAGGTGGACATCTAGAAAAAATTCCATCTTTACTAGTCTGAATTTCCAGATAATTTCAGTCTTCGAATATTATTATCAGATATACACTGTAGTAGAATCCCAAGGAGTGGACACTCACCCCCTGGGTACGGCCCGGTTTTAGACATTGCCCAGAGACTAGCTGTTCACCGGGCTCCTCGACTTAAACCTCTGAGGGACCATACAAAAGGCTCTTGACAACTCGGTTTTACTCTAAAATAAATAGATTTTCTAAATAGAAGTATATTTCTCGTTGAAATCGGGTTTCTTATATACATACTTTACTGCAAATTAAACGCTGAATAACAATAAACATTTAATCACTTAAAATCAATAATTTATTTGCGATTTTTCAAACATCTCGATTAATCGTTAAACATGGCGTGATTTCGTCGACACGGGTTGTTTTCTTGCTTAATCAACTTCCACTGGATCAGATAAAATGTGGGAAAGAAATACTAATTTTCTGCTTTTGTTTGAAATGATAAAAGATGGAATATTTTTTGTATTCATCCTGTATTATAGTCTGATACCATTCGATCTGAAAAGGTTATTCAACAAGGTTTAATAAATAGTTTACCATCTCGACAAGCATGTAAAGATATGTTTTTATTTATCGATGGAATAAAACGTTATTTGGACGAAGATCATGGTGCATTAATTACAAATCAAGAGACAGTTCAAAAACTTTTGAAACGATATCGTGTAAGGTGTAGAACAAATAGTGCTGTTTGTTTTCTGATTGCTTTTTCATTTCTCATAAACAGGAGATGCGTGTTGATGTGGTCAATCGTCAATTAACAATTGACTTTTTAAATGAATCATTTCAACAGGAAGCTAATGCCGATTTTGCAGGAATTGAATATATGGAACAAATTAAACAGATAAATATTGATTGGATTAAAATCAAGTCACTTATTGCAGCTAGAATAGAGGTGAGAGTTTTATTTAAATTTTACATTTATTATTAAACGTTCCATTATTTTAGACATTGGGACAACTAAATGAACAATTTAATGAATTTGATCAAACTGTTCGAACATTGGCCGATTGGGTACAAGAACAAACAGCAGATCTTGAATTTATGAAAAATAGAAAATTTGAATCGGGTTTGAAAGATAATATACGAAAATGTGATGTATGTTATTTTACATATAATAATATTTAATAAATAAACATCAATTCATTTTTTATTTAGGAATTAGAATATCAATTGACAACAAAACAACAAGTATTATCATCATTAAAAAATTATACGGATCGTATGAGTAGTTTTTATTCATCTAATTTTCGTATTGTCGATCAAGATGGTACAATAAATAATTTAAAACAAATGCTTGATCATTTAACACCGTCTATTGATGGTTTAAAATCAAAATCAAAACATATTCTAAATGATTGGCAAGAATATAATCGTCTATTATTAAATGTTGAAAAAATGTTAAGAGAAGCTGAATTAGAAATTGAACGTGTGGAAATGAGTGCAATGAACGTTGAAACATACGAAATGTGTACAAGAAAAGCACAGGTATATTATTTTTTAATTTATATTTTAAACATGAAGTAGAGAGAGAGAGAGAAAGTTAGTTTATCAATGATAATTGATTATTTAGGAACATTTACAATTAATGTCATTACGACAAAATGATTTAGATGAAATAAATCAACAAAGTCGTCATTTATCATCACAATGTGATGGAAATACATCAATGAAAATAAATGATATAACACATCGTATTAATCAAAAATGGAAAGATATTGAAATAAAATTACAACAATTAACAAAACCATCGAAAGATATTGTTGATGAATGGAGAAAATTTAATTCATCCTATGTTAATTTACTTGATCGTCTAGGAGAATTAGAAGCAAGATGGTATTCAATTCAACGAGAAAAATTTACATCTGAAACAGAAATTTTATTAAATAAAACAAAAGTAAAAAGAAGAAAATTATTTTCTAAATTAAATATTATCTTTCATTTTTATTTTTTAATAGGATTTTCAATCACGTTTACAACAAATTGATATTGATGTATTACAATTACATGAACGTTCACAAAATTTATGTCAATATTTACCCCAAACTGCATCTAAAAAAATTGATACACAATATATTGTTATTAAAAATCAATATGATGAATTAAAAATATTTCATGATAAATTACTTACAGATTTTAATAATATTAAACAACGTGAAGAAATATTTGCTGCTCATTTACGTGAAATAGCTGATACAATTCAAATAATTCAAAATCAATTAAAACAATATGATAATGATAAAGAGCCAACAGAAGATCGTTTAAAAGAATTACATGAATTAGATCAACGTTTAATATCACAACATGATTTATTACAACGTTTAAATTCATCAGAATTTGTTTTATATACATTACATATTAAACGTTTAAGAGAAATAACAATTGAATATCATCATTTAACAGAAATATTAAAAACAAAAATAAAACAAATTGAATTATATCTTTATGATAAATCAAATTTTTCAAAACGTTGTGAAAAATGGAATGATTATATTAAAGCAATTGAAACAAATTTAAATATGATAACAAATAATATAAAAACAAATTATCAAGGTTTATTAGAAATTGATCGTAGTCTTGATAGAATATTAAATGATTTTAATATGAGACAAACAGAATTAATTCAATTATTAAATGAGGGTAAACAATTAATTGAACATGATTTATTTGAACAGAAAAAAGCTTATTTTGAACAAATATTATCAAAATTAGAACAACGTTGGCAATATATTATTAGTTCGGCTAATGAAAAACAATTATTTATTAAAGAATTAATTAAACAATGGATATCATATCAAAATTTTATTGAACAATATTATCGATTATTAAAACAAAAATATGAACAAACAACATCAACAACAATAACAACTTCAACAGATCAATCAACGACAATGTTAACATTGAATCAAATCAAACAAGGCAACTTTCCAACATTAAAAAATAATGATGAAATGAAACATCTTCTCGAACGTATCTACGATGTTAATAGACGATTAATTACACATTCGGATGCGAATACAGTTATTATACTAGAAAAAGAATGGATAGATTTAGAAAAATCAGCAAATGATATTGAAATTAATTTGAAACATAGACGAGAAACACTTATTACGGTAAAAATACAGTAATAATACATTTATGAAAGTTTTGAATCTGATTATTAGATTAGTTTCAGACATACTTATACAAAAATAATGAGATAATCCTAATTGTATATTTGAAAACATGGTATAGTTTCTTTTTTTAGCCACGAAGTCCAAAAAAGAGTCAGGTAACATTTATCTGATCATTGACAATCGTCATACAGCATGTACTTTGCCCCTTTTAGCTAGTCTAGAGTTTGTGTTTTTCTAAATTTAGTATGCACCAATGTTAATAATTGTCGTTTTCAATTTTTGACATTGTTCATTTTTGCATGTAAAAATGATTTCTAAAGAAATCGTCTTCATTGCATGTCTCGATAAAAATGTCTCGCTTTATTGAAAGAAAAGTAATAACTGATAATTAATCAATCTGTTGTTATTGCTGCATGTTTTGTCAGCTAATGAATTATATAGTTTCTTTTATTCACCTGATGCAATTTGTAGATCATCTCGTTCTATTTAAAATAAGAATGAATGAACGGTATTTTTTTAGTTGTTAGAAAGTTAACTTATTTTTGACATATGATATAACTATTTACTATTCTGTTATCATTTTTCTAGCTTTTACTTCGTTATAATGAAGCTGATCGTTCCATTGACGATTTAACTGCATTAGTCAAATCGGCCAGAACATTACAAATTACAAATGAAGAAGAACATCGTACATTCGACAGAATTATTCACTTATGTCAAGTAGGTTAAAACAGTGGGATGGAGATAATTTGTTCTCAGGTAAAATCAGAAGTGAGTTCTTCAAACATAGATCAACGAAAATCGATATCTAATAACTCATGCATAGCCTGTTAACAGTAAGACTACAAAATTGACTTTTAACCAGCTATAACTCTTAAAACCTACTTGTTAATGATCAATGTTTTTTGTCTGTTATTTCACCATAAATTAAGGCCTAAAAACTGGCATTTAACGGTATGTATCTAAAAGCAGTGGCTGAGTTGATACCAGTGGCTGTGTATGATGTAAAGATAGTTTCGAGCTAAGCAGAATTGAACCTTATGTCATCAGAATTGACCATTTTCACAGCAGAATTGAAAATAGAACTGAATAGAGATCTAGCAGATCTGAAGAATGATGCGACAGAATTGAGTATGGAAAAGATCGTAGTTTATGTAATCCACTCAAGTTAAGCAGAACTGAACTGGGCTATTGTGCCGTATCAATGAATATTCCTATGAGCTCATAAAACTACATAGAGCCATACTTCTAACACCTCAGCATTCCTGGCAACATAAACAATAGGAGGAGAAGAGGCGCAGCATGAGAGTGAGTAACAAATAAAAACATTTCAAAACGGAGTCCAAAATGTTTTAAAAATCATGGGAGCTCAAACCTGCAATTCTCTATCATCATTGTTGAATTCTACCGGATCTATATTCAGTTCTATTTTCAATTCTGCTGTGACAATTGGTCAATCCTGATGACATGAGGTTCAGTTCTGTTTAATTTGACAAGATTACTTGCTTTTTCACATTCGATTCTGTCTCATCGTTGTTCAGTTCTGCTAGATGTTGTGTGAGGTAAAATTGGATTCTAGTGGAAGCAACGTAGAATTCTAAATGTTTAGAAACTGTGACATCCCTCGTATCTAAAACTAAAATTCACATCGGCCGTTAACTGTATATTAGGATGTCATTGGTGGTTAATATATCAGGAAAACCTAGCATTTAACGTTGGCAGTTTAATATCAGTTTTCAGCCATTTATCTACAAATCATTCAGCTTTCCGTTATTGTAACAAATATAAACATGACACTGATTCTTTTGAAAAAAAAATTCGAATTTTTCTCTTCTTCCATTGTATTAGTCATCAGAACTTGTCTGTTGAAATAGCCTGTAGTTCAGGAAATGGAGTATTGATGGTATTATAGCCCTTTGAAGAAATCAAGTAATATTGAAATTATTGAATTCATTCTTTGTGAAGTTATCTATCAGAAAGAAACTGACTTAAGAAAACATCCGACAAACAGATTTATGATGATACAATAACAGTCTCAAAACAGACATCATAAAATGTACATTTTTTGATCGTAATAAAACTTTTATGTATTCATACGTTCCCGGTTTCAACGCCTAAAAAAGGACACAAAAAGTGTCTCAATAGTCGACAAATATCTATTTAACAGAGATTGAAGAGGTTATTAATGTGCGTGTAATAGACAATTAATCACACCGTTTCTACGTCAAAGGCTTATAAATAAAATCTATTGGTTTCATATGATTATGAAAATGAAGAATAAAATACGATTTTTATCTATAGTTATGTGGAATTCTATTATTTGACTATATATTCTAGGAAAAAGACCGCGAATTGTCACAACGTCGTCATGAATTACAACGTATTCGACAATTGGTTATTGATATGTCAACAGAACTTCATCCAGATGATAATCGACAATTAATGCAAAAATTAAAGTTCGTTAGTTTATCTCTTCTTGTGTATCAGAATCTACTTTTTTTTTTAAGATAATTATTAAACTATTTTTCTTGTTTAGTTTACTTGAAATACAATGGAACGATGCTGAACGAATTTTAACTATGCTAATTGAATCTGCAACTAAAAAACGAATCGAATACAGTGATTTTGATGTGAAATATAATCGATTATTAGATTGGTTTAAATATTTTATTAATGAAGATATGAATCATCGAATTAATGGTCTCACTCTTGAAGGTATGTTTGTTTTTAATATTAGAGTTACTCTTACATTTAATAAATTATTGTTGTTATTTTTTTAATGTTTTTAGCTAGTCTTGATATACTCAAAATCGATATAAAAAATTTATTAAATGAAAAACGTCATCATGTTAATGATTTAATTGTACAAGCGAAAGTTTTACAATCACAAGTCAGTAATAATGATCAAACGCAATTAAATGCAATCAAACAAAATATCGAACAATTAGAACAAGCACTGAATAATGCTGAAGAACAGGTTGAACGAAGGTAACTCTATGATTTGTTTTGAAAATAAAATTTAATTTAAAAATTTAATTTTTATTAAAATAAAATTATTATTTCTAAATTTAGAGTAAAAAAGACGGAAACAACCTTAAAGACGTTGCATGATTTTGAAACCGGTTTGGAAAGTTTGAAATTATGGTATGATAATATAGAAACAATATTACAGCGACCACTTTCTATAAGTACATTTAATACCATCGAAGTACGCGCACACGAAGAGACACTTGCTGTAAGTAAACTGATCTATTTTATATATTAATATTCAAATTCATTATTACTTTAGACGATGGAGTCTGATATTGAAAGACATGAACCAGTTATAAATCAGATTCTATCGTTAGGACAACTCTTACTGAATGACACGGATATAAAACCGAGAAATGTCGATTCATTACCACGATCAATACAAACACTAGAAGCACGATGGAAAGGCATCAAAGAATTATTTCAAAAAAGAAAGATTGAGTATGTGTTCTCGAATAATAGATAATTTTATATTGATTGACATCATATATATTTGTAGACTTAATAATATGAACATATCATGGAAAAATATTGATGATTTAGTTAAACGTGCATTAAAAATGTTGAATGATCATGAACGTTTCATACGAGATATTAAAACAGTTGGAAATCAAGGATTAAACGGTGTTCGAAGTGAATACAAAAGTTTAGAGGTAGTTTTTTGATACATTGAAAATCTCTAACTCGTTTTATTCTATCTTTTGATTCTTTTTATTTTTTTCATAGAATTTTCAACGAACATTAGAAGGCGATGTCAGAGAAGTTCAACAAGTTAATGATGCATATTCAGAAATGTTACGAAATAATTTTATTGATACAAATGGCGAAACAAAATCAAAAATAAACGATATAAATAATAGATGGGAAAAATTATCAGCATATGTACATGAAACGATGAAAAATGTGAGAATTTTTATTTATATTCTTATTTTTAAAATATAATTAAATCATTTTTATAGCTCAAGTACATGTTAAGTGTTCATGATGATTTTCAATTGACACAAGATTCTCTGGCATTATGGTTAACTGATTTGGATATGTTGTTAACAAATTTAGAACATTTATCAGAAGCCTCACCAATGGAAAAAATACGACAACTTGATGTAAGTTAATTGTAAATGATTATTATTCGATTTATCCAACCGTGCCAGTTAACAAATTATCAGTTTGTCATGTTTTTACAACAATCCTACAGAATTAAGGATTAACAATATTTTTTATTTTTTACAAAATACGCTTGTCTTTGTATAGTTTCACTAGATTAAGATGATTTTTACAAAGAGTGACAGAGTGAAGTGAATAGACGATTCTATCACTGTCAAAATTGATCTTCATTTTCTATTAGGATATGGATCGTGAGATTCAAGAAAAACAATCCAAAATCGAATATGTTCGAACGTGTGCCAATTATTTGTTAACAAAAACAGTCGATTTAACAATAAATATAAATGATTTGACAAAATTTTGTCAACAGTTACGAGATTTATCAAGAAGAATTAAAAAATTAAAACAAAAACTTTTACATATAAACGATGTAAGAATCTTTTTATATTTCAATTGTTTCTATAAAATTTGAATTTAATTCTTCTATTTTTACCATCTTTAGCGTGATATGGAACGTTTACAATCTCCATCACATATGACATCTTCTCCTTTATCATCCGATTCTGTTATTTCATTTTCATCACCAAAACGATTTACACCATCACCATTTCGATCACCATCTCCAAGACGATCTCGTCGACAAGAACCAATAAAATCGAAACTGTATGATCAATATGCGTTCGGCAATAATCAACATGCACAAGAACTTTTCGCCGATTTTGAAGATGCTCTTTTACAAACAAATAGTGATCTATTGATAAAAGAGGAAACACTACGAGTACCGACTCCCACGGGTGTTCGTATAGAAGATACATCGAACGACTTTAACTATGTATGTTTAACTCATGTTTTGCTTAATCATTTTATATGTTTTATAAATTTTTTTAGAGTCGTGTTATTTCATCATCGCGCCGAAAAGTAGATGCTGTACAGGCCGTTATTACACAAATTGATCGTGAATTAGATCCTTCAATTAGTAGTGATTTGAATAATGATCCCGTAGTTACCGGTAAGTGTTTGTTGTTGTACATAGATAAATGATATATTCAATGACATATTACAGAGGTAATGGGACGCTGGAAGCGTTTACAAACCCTTGCAACAGAGAAAGATGAAAGATTAAAAGTCAATCGAAAACAATGGCTACGTTTCAAAAGACAATTAGAAGATTTAGAAAGTGCAGCTCAACAATATACAGACATTAATGGATTCTGTAAGCCGTGTTGTAATTTCAAAAAACTCTTATTGAATAAATGTTAATTTTTTGATTTTTTTTCTTTAAGTACCGAGAACTGTTTATTCTCAAGCGGAAGAACATCGCAGTCAAGTTCAACGTTTAGGTAAAAATAATAATATTAGTATTTGAAACAGACAATATATTTATCCTATTCATTTTAGATGAATTACAAACATTATTGGAGACTGTCATAGAAACAGCTGATCAATTCAGTGATGGTACCAATGAATCGTTGATAATTGATCATCGTCTGAACAGTGTTAAGGATAAATTTGGTTTCTTATTTGCAAAAATCGATAGAGAACATCGTGAATTAAAAGTAGATTATTATTTTAACTAAAAATATCTATCTATTTATAAATCTTTATTTTATAGAGTAATTTGGTTCAAAGTGAAGAATTAAAGCAGACAATGTCAGGAATTCTAAATGAATTAGAACATTTAGAAAATGCGAATAACAGTTTAGAGCCAGTAGATGAAAATGAATTAAATATAACAATCAATCGAACAAAATTACATCGTTTCATTCGAATACTAGATGATTTACATATTCTTGAAGATAAACTTTATAATCTTGAAAATCGTTCAGCTCGATTATTATCAGGTGATCAAGCTCGTTTTGTTGGCGATGTAAAATCAATAACTGATCGTTTAAAATCAATTAAACGCATCGTCGGCATGCATTTGGATCGCTTAGAAAAAACATTAGCAAAACAAGATCGATCAGAAAATATTGAAGTAAAACAATTTTATAATTACATGTACATAAACAACAGTTTTCTATTTTTTTAAATTTTTTAGATAAATACTCGCCGTAATATCATGATGAATTCACCTTTACGATCATCACAACAGGTAAATTTTATATATTAGGATGTGCTTGTATGTAATCGATATTTATTAAAAAATATGTAGACATCTAAATATGTTATTAGCTTTTGATGAGTTGATCTTTTTATTGGTTTATTTAGCGATTATATTACCAGTGATTTTATATCTCATCTTGATCGTACCGTCTTCTGCTCAACAAGATGAAGTTTCATATATTTACATACGTACTGGATCGCAATGGACTTTGACTTTTATGAAAAGTTAATTTATTTTCTACAATTTTTAATTTTTCTTCTTTTTATAAATAGTTGTGGGTGTGTATTAATGAAACAGTTAGCATCATAAAGTTAAAATATGGTATCATAGATAAAGTCGGAAGTAGATTTTACTACTTCATTTTTAACCGCAATAAATAACAACGTTTTTAATCTGCCCATAGGTATTTGAATGTTTTATTTTTTAACTAAGCTAGGCTATATTTTGTGTGTCTGTGTGTATATTTTCTTTTATACTCTAACATTTGTTGAGTATGAAGATGGTAATTAGTGAAATTTATAGATCTATTTAAATTGTACTACACGTTCTACGTCTGTTTTCAATCTGTACTATTGTATTTTTATGCTGATAAAAATAAAGAATGTAATTACTTAGGATAAATGTAAATGATGTTCTCTTTTTCTAATTATTTTTCTCTTTTATTTTCTTCGTTGTTTTTTTCCTCTTCTCCTTCATATTGCATGAAAACGCGTTAAAAAAAAAACTTTTTTTATTTTCTATTCTTTTTTGTATTAAAATAATGGAATTTCAAATTCCTTTCGTCACAAAGATCAATGATAAAATCAAAAATTATTAAAGAATACATATTTCTCAGTCAAAACAGTATCTACTCGTACGAGATAATTTTGAGAGACAAAGAGGTTTATTTCAATTAAATTAGCACATTAATCTTTCCGTAAAATTTTTTGGATATAATATACTGTTAAACAAATTATTAAACATATATTTCACACAATTAAAGTTTATTTTAATCTATATCAAAAATACAATATATAGATACATATCTTCATTACTCATATTAGATAGAATAAAGTAATTGTCTAACATTTAAAAAATATTGACTAAAACTTCCATACGAAGTCACAATGAGTTCATACGAACAACATGCAAAACAATATACAATATAAGAATTTTTGTCAAACTGAATTTGCATACAATGTTCCCTGATACGATATACCATTTACTTCGACTGAAATTGTGATCGATTTTTCTTGTTGATCAGAATTGTCTAAAATTTTTAAGAATAAAATTCAATGTGTAAAAAATCAACAACAACAAAATTAAATACTGTACCTTTTGCAATTATTTTTAATTTAGTAAATGCGGCCGTACCACTATTGGATGGTGAAGAAAACGTTTTTTCACCCATTGAAAGTTTTTTTACTGGACTACAATTTTCATCTCGTTTTAGTGATGGTGATGGTGATAAACTACGTTTTGCACGTTCAAACACTTTTGATACCTCTTCAAATGCTCGTGCTTCTTTGTTAGCTCCATTACTATTGCCAAGTTGGTCACGTGAGATAAAGAACGGACGTGCCGTTGTAAATGCCACATGATGCTGCAGTGAATCATGTCCATGACTATTTTCCACTAAAACATAGAAATTGATCAAATAAGTTTGTAAAGGATCATGATGATGTTTGAATTATATATACTTTATGCTACACCTACATGTTCTGTTCAATAGTGAACTAGTTAAAAATGATGCTTGTGGTGGTGGAGGTGGTGGCATAATACTCGGTGGAGAAGAATATTCCTAAATTAAAAATAGTTCATTAATCATAAGTAATGATGATGAAAATTCTACATACAAATGCATAACTAGGTCGTCGTCCTTCACGTCGGTTACCCTCGATAGCCGCTTGAAGTTCGCCTGGTGAACTTAACTGTAATTTTTCACATTCATATGGATATAAATATTTCATATATCTAAATTGAAGAAGAAAATTTATGATGTTCAGTTGAAAATTAGTGAAACAAAACAAATCATTGTCGTTAATTAATATATTCGTGTCATGTCAAAAACAATAGAGCATATGGGTGGATAGATTTTCAAAGTTTATCTATAATTATTGACTAATGTAGACGGTAGTCTTTTATGAATTGATCTCTGTCTCTATGTATCACTATTGTCTCACTCATTATACACCATAAATTTTCATCATCGTTCCACCTAATTGAAAGTAAGCGATGACATATATAATTAATGATCCACTATAGACGTAGACAAAAAGAAAAGAATGTGTAATGAATACAATAATGATGTTGATGAAACTAATCTTTCCAGAATTCAAGAAAATAAACATATACTGGAATAGCAAATGTAATTTTTTGTGAAAAAGAATTTATTTCTACAAAAATTATGATAGAAATGTTAACATTTGATATAAAATAATTTGGAATTCTTTTAGTTAGAAGGATTCACGCAATAGCATCATTTGCCTCTCATTCTATATTCTCGTATATATAGCTACTTCTATATTATTCTTTAACTTCTTGTATATCAAGCTGTTGTTCTCTAAACGTAGAAGATTGATTATACTATGATTATAATTAACAACGCACGGTTCTTTCTCTCATCTTCTTTATTATAATCATTTATCACTAAATCAGAATAGATTTTATGATATTATTAGTATTATATCGGCTCATGTTCCATTACAATTTCCATTATTACTAGAAAAAAAGGAAATAATTCCCTTTTGAGACTTTTAATGCAATCATAATGGAAGGAGGTTGTTTTTATTCTATACGAAGGCCACTCTAGATACATGCATACAATCGTTTATTACTGTCATAATCAACAAAACCATATTATTTCGCTTAATAATAATTTACAACAATTTTTTCCAATAGTAATAATAATAATAATAATAATAGCCATAATGAAATTGATAGAAATAAGTAACTGAGAAAACTATACAGCAAACAGAATTTATTGTAAACAATTGTTCTCTATGTGTGTGTATAAATGACAACAGGAGTTAGATATATGTAAATAAAGAAGGCTAAGAACATATGTTGTTGAGGATTGGCATTAAATTTGTTCTATGAACTGACATCTGATGTTCAGTTTTATACCATCAATTCACTAAAGTATTAGATATGTGTATATGTGTGTGTGTGTGTGTGTGTTTTTGACAATAATTTTTTCATTATGTAATTTAGAGCGCTAATCTTTCATGACATATATATACATCTACATCTAATTTGAATTTATTAGATGTAGGACAGTTATTTCATCAACATATCGAAAATACGGTAATGATTATACAAAATTAGATGTACATGTCGTTCATATTACTTACTGTGTACGTAATGTAAAAGCGGCACTTGTTATGGAACTAGGTAGATTTAAACCTTTCGTCACTTCACGCCATAATTTCTTGTTAATAACTTCTACAAGACCACCTTTAGATACAACCAGACGAAATAACTCGTATAAATCAAGTACATGCTTAGCCATTATGGGAATACGATTCACGGGTGTACCTGAAACAAAACAAAGCATAGTTTTTAATGGAAAATTTTATAGGCGTTCAATCGATACTCGATGAAAACTCAACCAGTTTGATGTTGCTTCTAGATTTGACTATCATGATGATTAGATTTTGATACATTCTATTTGCCAATCTTCGATGAAGTTTCACGGAACTCTTGATAATAAACAATCTCTACGTAGTTTAGTTTTTCGTAGGACTTCTTCAAGAGTCGAAAGAATTGTTTGGTTCCTCTAGCAAGTTTCTCACACTATTCATTCATCATTTTATTCTGTTTCACTCTCCATGCTCTATTTAAACATGTTCACAATTTTCTCTAAATGAGTGATCAATGAGGTATTGGCTTCTCTACTAATTTCTAGCCAAAGGCTACAAGGATGGTGAACTACAAGAGATTATCTACTAAGATTGTCCAATAGCAGTATGTTGTTTCTATAATATTAACTATTACTTGATTATTCAACAGAACTATATCTTGAACTGCTACCTCTATTGTTGGTTTTTGTTTGTAAAGAAGTTCACACAACGAGAATTTTATTTCTATGATTTTTCAACGTTCTAATAATTATTCGTACTCAAAATCTTTAGTTGTAAATTTCGTAATAAGGATATTACGATTATTACGAGGATATGCTTTTCCTTTTGTGCCTTTGAATTCAATTATATTTGCATTAATATCTGATGAATGTTTTATGTGTACGCAGATATTGTTATCAAAAAAATTTAAAACGAAAAGTTAGTTTACCATAAACAAGCTGTTCTTTATATTCATCTGTCAACACTCGTCATGTGGCATTCCTTGATATATTTTGAAGATCTTTTAAACGATATCTTATTCTTAAGAAAAAGTGCTCAAAAAAAAAAGAAAAACTTCCGCTATCATTTTTATTGAACATACTATCATATGACCATTTGTTACAAATGAAAAGATTGTTTCAAAATTCACTTTGAACTATATATATATATCCTTTGCTTCCTATTTCTTAGTAAATGTTGAAAACAATATTGAACACACATACAAGTGAAAAGAAATCTCTTTATATCCATCACCGTCATTCATCATCATTTTGTGTGTCTTGTGTGCTTGTGCAGATGAAGAAGAAGAAGAATGTAGACACTTAAACAAATTATACTTTTGAAAACAAAAAAAAATAAAATTGAAGGATTGAAAAGTCATCATCATCATCATCTCTACGTGCTCTAAAATAATATTACCCTACACACTAACCGACTAATTACTTTTATTTTAACTGAAGTAAAACGAAAAGATATTCTGATGAATGTGTTCTCTTTGATACACACATTCTTCTATACACAAATAACATATTGTTTTTTCATCATCGGAAATAAATCGTTGTGAAAATCATCGTTAAAATTAAAAATATCGGCGTACATTGAAAAGTATTATTTAAGTAGCACCTATTTTTAACACATTATTTAGATAGACATACTTTCGCATTCTGTATTGATTTGTCAAATGAAACAGAGCATCTACTATTGGACAAAAAGATAAAAGAGCAAATATAAACCAATCAAAAACAGACAGAAATAAAGAATGGACAAGTGCAAGATTAATTAATGATAAAGCGAGAAAAAATAATGATATTCTCTCGCCCACTACTAAAAATCATATATTTTCAATTTTCATTTAAAAAAAAGGAAATGAAGACTGGTACATACCAGCCGGTTTATAAGCGGATGATGGTGAATAATTCATGGCCAAATCGAATAGTTAAAAAGAAAAAAGAGAAATATTACTTGTCATCTGTAGATACTCTACAAAGCTTAGAGAATGAGAGTCATTAATGATTAACTCAAATACCAAGTTTTATAGAAGTGCGAAATAGTGAGTCTTAGAAGTATATCAGATTTATTATAAACTGAGCCATACTTCGACTTTCAAAGCAGGCTGAGAATAATTTCAGATGTGGCATGCATTTGTTTTTTCAAAAATTTTACTTTGAAATATGAGAGTTTTATATTTTTTAGAAAACATTGCGCTGAAATAAAAACAAAAAAAATTTCAAAAAAACAGGATAAAGGCTATCGACATCTACTTTCTGCACTTCTGATTAGAAACTGATAAGTTTTTTGTTTATACGGACGATATTTAGATAAATGTCTTGACTTCAAAATTAAAAAAAAATGAAAGAGTAACAATTTTGCTGAGAGCCCTTTGTGATACCTATAACTCAACAAATCTTCAACTTTTTAAGCTCAAAGTTTTAGTGTAAGCTAGTTAGATGATAACCACTAATCTCTGTAAGTTTCGGCAAAATCGGTTGTAAAACAAAAAAGGTTTTTTCCTGAGGGTCTGGCCCCCTTAACTATTCTGTTATGTGATGCATAAAGTATCAGAAGATTATTATATTTTTTACTATTTTAGGACTGTTTATATACAGTTTTTTAATAGAAGAAAAATGATTACATTAAAGATGTATATATTGCTTTTTTCTAAAAAAACGCTTTTTAATCAATATATTTAGCCTGAAAGCAAATTATTAGACTAAGAGGTCCTTGTTTTCAAATTAACTATTGCAATTCTTTTATATTCTTTTCTCTCATTTTATTCACATGATTTACCGAGCTTTACGTTATCTGTCATCTTGTATAAATAAAAATAGTAGATTTAATTAGATTGCTCATTTTATATTAATCGATCCAACAAAATACACCTTTCGCTCTTTTCATGCTTAAAAAATTTTGACAAAAATGCAGAATTTCTTTTCTCTCAAAACGTTTCATTCCACTTAATAGAATTATTGATATTTCGTTTAAAATATTAACTAATATGATAATTAAACAAATAAAAAAAATAAAAATTCTATACGTTACCTCGTTTTTGCATGAAAGAAAACAAATCATCTAAAAATTCTTTTCGTTTTGGTTCGTCGGATAATTCATATAACTAAAATGAAACAAAAGAATTATGATTCAAAAGCTATTTGAACTTATAGTGTATTAGTTTTAATAAGAAAAGTCACCAAAAACCAAAAAAAAATGCATCAGCCAAGGTATTTCTTTTGTGACGGGATTAAATCATTCAGATTCGAGTTTCAATGAATTCCAATTATCTACGTATAACTTAGAGTATACTGTATACACGTACCATCGCAAAACAGAATGGTGAATGAAGAGAAAACAGGATACATTCAATTGAAGACATATTTTAAGGAACAACTGATGCATCTTCTGTGAGGACACCATTCAATGTGTACCATTCAATGTGTACTGTTGTAAAACATTGGAAACTAGAACATATTTCAGTACATATCCCATGTATTACTTTGCAAGACTGTTATAGAAATGCAAATAAGGCTGTATTACGGCTACGGCCCAACTCAGATACTTTTTTTGCAAATTTACATTCAGTTTTAGTTGTTCTCTTTGATGTTGTCTCATCTTACAAAGTCAATTAGGACGAATTTGTATTTCAATTAGGAAGCTACGCGTACTACAATTGTATAAACTTCTTGGGATAGTGAAACATACACATTTTTATCCACTCTGTAAAATAATAATGATCAAATTCATCTTTTGATTTATTAAAAGTTGATTTGTTTACAGAGTACGCTTAATTTTTGCCCTCCCAATGTAGTAGACATTTGACAAAAACTTTTTCGTACTATTGGTTCTCCTGATGACCATATGAGAAGTAGTAGTTTTCATTACACACCATATGTTTAGTTTGTTCGCTCAATCATTTGAATTTTTTACTAGTAACTAACTACTGGAATCCTGTTCATTTCGTTGAATGTCGTTAGATATTCCGATATATGTATTATAAATAATTTAATTATGAACAAAATTGATCTTATCGATAGTATAACATTTTTCTCTCGTTTTTCTATCTTAGATAAGTTAAGGAAGTTAGTGATCAATTTTTCGATAAAATAGTCATTAATTTTATTATTCAAGTTAGAAGAACCAAAAATTTGACAAGAAAAAAGAAAATCTATGAAAACTATGAAGACAGTATGTTCATATAAAATTTAATTTTAAATTCTTATTATTAAACGAAGCATGCCTAAACCGTACCGGATCTTATTTAGTTTATCATTCTGTTATATTTATTATTAAATCACCTTAGTATATAAAGAAAAAGTTAGTTTATTATACTAATGATGATAATGATGATGAGTAGTATAAATTTGATAGAGAGAAAATTTAGTCTTTTAGACAAATAAATTATTATAACATTGTTCTCCTTCTCTCTCTATCTTAGATACAGAAGTTTCTCTTTTTTATTTTTATTCTTTGGTTCCGGACCTATTCTCTGTATGTAATTGTGATAAATGAAGCTTTTCACGTCTATATATCTATATGGGGGTGTGCATTTTTTTCGTTTTATGCTCGATTTATTCTCACAAAAAATAAAAAATAAAAACGATTGATTGATAACTCGATTTATTTATGTATGTACATGGACTCTTTCTGTTCGAAGTTCATTATCATCATTATTTTAATATTCCATTCGATACATTTCTAGATATTAAAATAAGCTATTTTAAAAGAAGCGAAAAAAAAAATAAGAAAAAATAACTACACAAGACGTGTCCTAAATATGAGAACAACATTTTTTCTTTTCGACGTAAACTATATGATTATTTTTATCAAAATCAATTCATTCTACTTTAAAAAATAACTAAGTAATATCTTTCCAACATCGCAAAAATAGAAACAATTTTTTATTTTATTTTTTTTTTAAGACAATTAATACTCTAGTACATCAAAATCTTCTATCCTATAAATTCTATTAATAGTCGAAAAAAACGGCGCATACTTAAACATCTTTCTTCTGTCTTCTACTATAATAAAATATATGATATTAGTATCACATTTCTACAAGAAAATATTAGAAATTTGAAAATTTATACACTTTTAGATTTGACTTTTTTTAATCTACTCAATTCTAAACAGTAGAAATAGTAGTAGAATAAGTAGTAAATATGTGTATATAGCACGAGCAATTTATAAAAATTGTTTGATTGAATGTTGTCAGTCAGTAGCATAGCAGAATATTTATATCGTTAACGTGTGGAAACAACTACATTGTAGATAAAATATGGATATATATATACATATATATATATATTGTATGATGATGATGATTATTATTTGGTTTGGATAACAATTTGGTTCGCATCAGTTCAAATGTTGATGTAAACAGTAGACAGAGTAATTATTTTAGATTGAGATTGTTGTCTGTTATAGATGCAGAGAGAAAGAGAGAGATTTATGAATATAATCATCAGGGACAATCAACAAACGATTGTTATTTCCTAGTATATGGCTATGCAAAAAATTTCTTTTATCACTCACAATCTTTCCTTTTTTTTTTTTCTTTCCACTTTAATTATTATACGTAAATAGCGGTGTCTCACAATAACATGAACAACTTTTCTGATCGAATTTTAATTAATCAACGGAACCATACGGCTACCTCAATAAAGTTAATGGAAAAATAACTTGGATTTATATCAATAATTATTTGTCGATTGTTTACCAAAAAAAAGGAGATGGATATCCATAATAAAGAAAGATGACTCAATAATAAACAATGTTTAATCAAGTACTATTTCGCAAAAAATATCTCATTTTTGATAATGAATAAAGTACATTCATTAAAGTAGATAGAATTTAAACACCATCTCAAAAATAAAATATACAATTATTAAGGAAGTTTCATGCGATAAAAAAAGTAATATACAAAGTGACAATATGTTGCAGTCGAAGACAACATTCTTTTTTGACAAGAAAAAAACAATTAGAATTGTTTTCAACCTTAAAGTCGTCATTGTTCAGATGGATACAAAAGAAGCCTTGAATATGAAACAAAATGGTGCGCATGTATCTAAACTATGATCGGCTACCATCTGTTTTTTAATATACATATTAAAACAGCAATCAAATATTAATCAATATCCCTAAAGCATTTATTATAATTATTATTATTATTATTCCTATTATTATTCTCTTTAGTTGATGTTCACCAATAATGAGTGTTCATTAACTTGTTCATAGAGACTCATTATGAAATTAAAACAAGTTTGATCTTCAATGTTTTTTTACTTTTCTAACGAATATCCGTAATCTAACTATAATAAAGTTGTATCATAATCGGTAACTTCAAACTATTTCTCAAGAAAATAATTTAATAAAGAGCGGAATGTTCTGTTTACAAAACATTATCGGTACATGATAGTCTATTCTGTATTAATTTAAAAATAGGCATATGAGTTTAGTAAAGTGGTCCTATGCGACTAATTGATATAGTGTTGAAGAGAGAGAGAGAGAGAAATGGCATATACTAATAATGCTTCGTTTTGTTTCTAATATATCTAAATATTTTTTATGAGCAAAACTCCTCGATTAAGCTTTCTTCCAACAGTTAATAGCTACTTTGATTTCATATGTTCATATATCATAAATGACAAATTGCTTTTTCTTTTCTTCCTTTTTCTTCTTCTCTTATGAATGTATCTAAGGGAGAAATAGATCCCGACAGGCAATTAGTAATGACATGCTGCCCAGCGTTAATGTAAACGATAAATTGATCATCATCATCGGCCTTAATCGTAAGAAAATTTGTTTGGATGATAAATCTAAATGAGCATTTCGCCAACATTTATGATATGCTCCGAATAAAGAAGAAAAATTAGAGAAAGAATTTCTTTTTTCGAATCTATCCGACAGTAATAATAACAACAAAAACAACAGCTGGTTCAATGGATTTAAGGCAATTTAGTGATTAATTTAATAACATTACTCTTATGAAACAAATCGAGACTAAGCTAATACAGTAGAAGAGCTAGATTGATTACGCATCATTCGAAAATTGATTAATATATACCTTCTCATTAGAAACTAATTGCTATAATTTTCTGTTCGCAGATAGATGAGAGCTAATAAGAGAGATCAAGTGATTATGTAGATTGAACAAAACAATCAATACTGACTGATTCAACCGTATTTTGTATTATATGAATCGTTTTTACTACCATACTGCTGACAGCAGTATTTACAACATTACAATTTTAATTTAATAAAAACGAGTTTTGACATATATCTCTCATTATATAAAACAGAACCGTTAACATAACTTTTCCGAATATATAATCAAAATCGTTAATAACATGGCTGTATAATATATGATTGTAATTTACTTGAAAAATACAGGAAAAAACAGCAGATACTCTATCATGATCATCATCCTTCAGTTTATAATTATTTTTTAATGTAATCAATGTATACATCTTATCATATCATATCAGTGAGTTGCTAATATCGAAAAAAAGAGAGAGAGTTGAAATACAGGTTTTGTAAACGAAAGAAATATGTTACACTGTTTTGATTTTATTCTAGTAGCTTTTTATTACTCAAAATGGTAATATATTCTAGTAAACTTTTTTAAAAATACTCAATTATCATTTTCTTGAACGTATTCGAAAATAAAAATAATATTTTTCATCACATTTGGATCGAATGCAATCAGAAGTCATACTTACACTTTAATTATTGCTGTTCAGCTTATTTACCTTAATATCTAAGAAAATGACAAAAAAAAATCTCTAATAAAATATGACAGCTGCTAAAGATATATCGATATAAATTTCTCTGATACGAAACAAGTATTATTACCTAAATGAGTAATTCATCCTATCTGACAAGTAGCATCATAGACCATTTATCAAAAAGATTCAACTGCTGTTGTCTTCTAATCCCACTTTTAAATACAATCTACGAGCAGGACCGCAAATTTGTTTAAAAGCATTGATTTCGAAATTGAAAAGTCTCTTTATGCTTCAGGTGAAAATAGCGATTAAGAAAGAAAGATTTTATATGTAGTAATAATGTCATTCGCCATTAAGACAAAAAAAAAGAAAAAAAGTTGATAGATGTGGTTTTGATTTCATTGTCTTTAATTATAGATAAGTGTGTGTGAATAAATATAAACCTGTTACATTATTCTCTCTCTTTCTTTCTACTAAATATTTCAATTAATTATTGCTCAAAGCCATCACCAAGAAGAAAAGAAGTCTATGTCATCACAACATACAATGTGCTCAATATAGAATAATTCAAATGATGTGCAAACAGAGGAACTAAATGTATCGCTCTATAGCCTATAACTCTAATTGATTCATTTTCCTTTTCTACATATGATAGTTAGAATAAAAAAAAGAGCATAACGATTACACGACTAATCATCAGTAGTTACAAATCTATTGATTAAAATACTCAATTATCTAACTCTATATCGACAAGGTGCACAAAGCTTTAAAATGTATTGTAACATTATATTTTCTTCTCATTCAATTGTATTGAATTCTAGTTGCACTAACCTGTTTAAATTGTTCTTCATATGTCCATTCGGTAGTACTACCCGAATTGCTTTGATTTCCCGAATCTGAACTGCTTGGTGATCTACTAGATGACTGTTCCGTAGGTGCTGTTGGTTGATGTATTGAGGATGTGGTCGATGCTGACGCTGTTGTTGTTGTGATACCAACAGTTGATATTGCTCCTGTTTGACTATTTGACGGACTGTGTGTTGATAATTGCCATGAATTGAAACGATTATCCTTGTTTTCCGGTAAAAACGAGGCAGCAGTCGCACTTGTAGCTGATGGGAGAAGTCTTTCGGCAAGATAGGGATTGAAATTGTGAAAATTATATAAATGTGGTGAATGTGAATAGTGTGAGTAGAGTGCTGCTTGATTTGATAAATATCGATCACGTTCATCTTTCGACATATGACGATGATCTCGTTCATCTGGATTGCTGTTGCTATTAGTCAATAATTGCGAAAAAACACGTTCGCGATCTTCTGGTTTCATAGCAAACGATTGAGTGTATAGTAAAAAATTTCGATGTGCTAACCAGCGTTCTTCATATTCTTTCAGTTCTTTAACAATTCGATCACGATGACAAGAATAATCGGTTTTGGACTGAGAATCATCTGCATTTGTAAGATTATTTTTTGTGGACGTACTGGTACTGGTAGTTATTGGCGGAGAATGCGTTATTGATGACTCCTCTTTTTTCTCACTTTTGATTTCAACATGAGATATCGAAGGCGAAGCTTGTTCAACATCACCACTCACACTAGAAAAATTATCTTCATCAAGTTCACCATCAAGAATTTCCTCTTCTCCGGGCAAAGGTGAACATTCTTGAATATTCTAAAAAAGAAAAGAACTGAATTATTAAAGAAATAATGTTTTCGGTACGATAATTACTTTTAAATGAAAGTCACCGGAGTCTGATTTCAAAACTTCCATATTATAAAAATTGTTTTGTGTTTGAGATCAATTATTATTCCTAAAATATAAAAATATTCGCTATAAAATCAGGAAGACATGTTGGAGTCAACTACTTCGAATGTTCGCGAGAACGGAAGATACTAAACTAAATCTCAGTTCAAACTTTTTACATATTCTATAATCTAGGCAGAATTACACCAGTTTTATTTTCTTACCTCTGACGCATATGGATATATATGTATTATTTTTTCTCTGTTTGGTTTAAATTTGAACCAACAATTTTATTTAAAAAAAAAAGTAAATGCCGAAGGTAAAAAGACGAATCAAAATTTCTATTTTGTTGTATTGTCTTTCTTTCTTCTTATGTTTTCTCTCGGTGCGTATTAGATGTCTTATGTGTAAAAATTCTTGTTCTTCTCTATATCTATAATGATAATATAAAATTAATCATAGAACAAAATAAAAAAAAAGAATCTCCGTATGAGTTCTCTATTCTACATCATGCCATAAAATTGATCCTGAAGGCATAAATACATATTTGCACACATGCTATACATTGATATTAAACAACTTATTAGATAGATTTTTTTTTCTTTCTTTTATCTAGTTCTTCTTCCTTATACCGGATTCGTCAATGATTATTTTTTTTCTCAACAAATAATATTATTCGTGAATATTTTTCTACTTGTTTCTATCTTTACAATATAAAAATTAGAAGAAAAAATAAATTTCAAAACAAAAAAAAAAACTCGTTTTCATCTAATAAGCAAAACAAAAGGCAAATAATGTAACGTTTATTTATTATGTTCTCTAATGTCGATTATAGAGTAAAATAAGCAAGCCTAGCTAGCTAGCATTTGTGAAATCGACTAATCATCATCATCATATAGTCTAACGTGAATAATGATGATAATGGGACAAAGAGAGAGGAAAAAAAAGAAGAAAAAGAGGAAATAGAGAGACATAAATACACACACGCACAAGAATAATAATAATAATTAGAATCATAGTAGTCATAATAGCAATACAATTATTATATTGCAGATGTCTTTATGTGAACTATTATAAAACGGAATATAATAATTCAGTTGCAAAATAACAACAAAAAAAAACAACGATCTCTATTTATGTAGGTTCTTCTTCTTGATTTAGATTGGCCATGATGAAAAGAGAGAGAGAGAGAGATGACACAAATAACATAGCTCCAAGAAATAATTATTAATACGGTTTGCTAAATTCATATTCATACGTTACAGAAAATAATAACATTTGTTTTGTACAACCAACTTGTGCATCTGTCCTACATCTAAATCCATCTACAATTACAGAGTAAATAAAACACACAAAAAGGAGTGACTAGTGGAGATATTTAGAGTGACAATGTATCTGTTAGCAGAATAAGATTTTTAAGAACCTAAAAAACAGTTCAGATCTCCCAATACATGCCCAAGAATTTATATTTACGTGGACAATTTTCAAAGAGACTATATATTCATCCTGATTATACAGGAATATACCAGGCGCAACCCGCTCTTTTACTCAGATATACACAGCGCTAACGGATATCCTAAAGAAAACAATATTACTTAGTAATTCTATCATAACTGGTTTTTCTAACATTCTTAGTTTATTTTTGCAGAAGATGCGCCAACCATTTTCGATAAAAAAGTGTATTAAATGGTTCGTTTATTGAAAAACGTAAGACTCGAACGCCGAGTTGTCAACTATAAAAAATTCCAAATGTGGGATAGATTAGTTTTTAAAATGAGGAACATCACCAATGTCCGTCATTTTAAAGAAGTTTTCTAAGCGAGGTACACGCTATGGAACGAGTTTTTATGAGGATCAAATCTTGAAGTGAGAGATTGTCCCTCTCTTAGAGGGATATTTTACAACCACGTTCGAACGTTGTATATATTGAGAAGGAAACAAGTAACTTTCTAATCAAAAAATCAGTTTTTCCGGTTTTCTTCCTTACCCTGTTGTGATATGAAAAAATCGAACTACGTATTCACTAACAATTTATATTTAACTAAAATTTTCTCACAGCATAATCGGCTGAATATTTTTTCACCATACTGTGAAATTCTTATGATTCTCTAAAATAAAAACTTTAGAATTGCAGGTTTTCATGTTACAAAGAAACAATGCTTCTGCAATATTGAATGCGAAAAGATAAGTAACTTTTCTTATTTCATTCGGCCGAACGGAGAGATTTAATTTTATTTGTTATTCAGTAAATTCTGTTGAAAATATCTTTTTGTATCATAAAACATTTGAACGAAATCGATTATACAACGTGAGAAAAAACATATTTGCCAGTATCATGAAACTTAGTCTGCAGCATCTTGATACCTGTTGAACGTTCAAAAAGAAACTGGAATTTTTTTAAAAAATGCTTTAGAAAGATGACCAGTTCGAACCTTGTCAGTGTTTCTCATGAAACGTCCCACTTTCACATCTTGTAATAAATCACTCACTACATTTCTTATGTAGAGCGTCAATGTGCATCTTTTTAAAAAAATTAGGTCGTAGGAATTGTCAGAGGAAAAAGTTGTCATTAAAATACTAAGTGACGATTTTCATAAACATGTAACAGCAAAATTGGGTCAAAAAGTACCAATTATCCACAAAAAGGCTATTCGTTAGTGGTTTACTCTCATTTTATCGCTACTATCAACGTAACTACTACAACACCTTTCTTCGTCATGATACTCCCTTTAACATGGCAAAAGGTTCGTATACCATTCAATATGATCTAAAGCCCTGAACCTTAAAAGTTTTTGTAATTTTGAGATTTTAAGAAATAGTTTTATTCAAATTTAATTTTATTTCTAAAATCCGTCGAATAAATCATTACAGGATCATTCATCTGATATTTAGCTTGATAACTTCGTTATGACATATTCACACAATGTCACCAGAATTGCCATATGTCCTCTGCAACAGAGATGGTTGCTTTGATGATTTATCCCTTCTAAGAATCCAGCCCTCTGAGCGTCCTTCATTTCAGATTAATCTATCACACACTTGACATCGGAACTTTTACAGTTGGTAGCCTGAATTTCACCGATCTTAGCTGATTTGTTTGGTTATGCCGATTTTCAATTCTCTAGAAAACGAGTTTGCTAGGCAGATATTTCGAAGAAACTTTAGAACAGATTGATCATAGTCACTACGACCAACACAACTTTCATTCATCATAATATGTTTTTCTTTAAAACCGGCAAATATGCATCATTAAGAATGCAATACAAGCAGAATCAAAAACTGGAAACATAGGTCCAGTCATTTTCCAAAAAGAGATACCAACAGAAAGGTATAAATTATATCTTGATAATGTCTCAAACTAGTTCTTCTTTCAGAAGGCTTTCTTTTTTTTCTTTTCCAAGCTAAAATTTTTGAAATAGCCTGCAGCTATTTCTCTGTGACAGAAGCAAAATTTTAAGAACTTTTCTTGTTCAAACTGCAGCTGTGTTATATTACACGTTATAATGTGATCCTTAGATACTTTGTAAATAGCTAGACTGTTTCATTAAACAGTGTATTAGTCCGACGTGTAACATTGTATCTACTTATGCATATTCAAAGCTGACTACAAACTATATGTCAGTTTGTATAATTTATACAGCTGTATAATAAAAACCGAGTATAAAATTTATCACGTGTTATTGGGTATAAAATAAAAACGAAAATTTATCTCGAGACAAAGAACTAAAAAAGCGTCTAACTTTTCAACTCGACGTATTTCGACACAAACAGAACCACAGTCACTTTTACACGTCTTCGCGTACTGTCAACACAAGACCTTTGCTTGTACTTTCTACTGTTTCAAATTCAATTAAAAGTTTTTTATACATAATGGCACCCAAAACTAGCGGCCAAACCCGTCAGGCTGGTAAATCTCGTCAAGCTGGTAATACAAAATCAGGAAAAAGAGCACCATCAAAGTCAGTATCAAAATCGAAACATCCAGCATATACGGTAAGCATAAAAGAATATCAGATCATTTTCAAACACTTTCCTATATTTTCCATTTATAAGGCTATGGTTAAAGAAGCGCTTGAAGCATTAAATAAACGTGGTGGAACATCACGTCAAGCAATCTTAAATCATATCGTGGAAACACATGGTATTCAACGCGGTTTATCAGTCAATTCGCATTTACGTACATCGTTGAAAAAAATGCTCGATAATGAAGAAATAACTCAGGTTTCAGGTAAAAACAGTAGTTTTCTCTTGTATGAAAACATAAGCATTTGATCCATGAGTGTTGTAAGCTAAGGATGTGCAGTGTGTAGACTTAGATTGAAAATAACTTTAAAGAATATAGTGCAATATAAACATACTTATCCTGCACATCTGCGACAGAGAAGTTAAATAACTTTCTATATCGTTGTATTGCTTTTTTATATCAAATTTTGCTAAGAAAACGTTCACTGCTTAGCCACAAGCGTTATTCTAGACACTCATACTTCAGAGCTGATGAAAGAGTCTCGTGAAATAGTAGGTCATTTAAAAACCTTTTTTAGGTTCAGGTGCAAATGGTTTTTTTAAAATTAAATCTTCGAAAAAATCAAATACCCAAAAAAGTTCAAATACTCGTGGTAGATCATCATCAAAAAATTCGACTAGAAAACGTTCTTCTAGTCAAGGTGGTGGTTATTCAAATAATCGTAGTCAACAAAAATCACCTAGCAAGAACCGGTCCGCTACAAAGGGGCGTTCTGCCGGAAGAAAATCAGGTGGTGCTACTAATTCCAAATCAAAATCAGTGAAACGGTAGGTTCTTCCTTATATAATCATCTATTAATTAAAAATTTCTTTATCATAATCTTTCATTCAAATTTTTGCTGACGCTGTTTGCTATAATAATTTACATCTTTGTCCAAATGTTTTAGTTTGAGTAATAAACAATCACCGAACAAAAGAAATACAAAAGCCGGTAATTCAAAAAATAACTCGCCACGAAAACAAGCTGGTCAGAAACAAAAGTCGCCACGAAAACAACAAAACAAAAATAGTTATTGATAAGCATTTGAATTCATTGTACATTTTGTTGTAAAAAAAGATTTTTCTCTTTGTTAAAGTATTCAATCTTGAACCATTATTCTTTCCCGTGGTTTCTTCGTTTTATACTACATATTTACGGTTATTTTCTATTCGATATAAGAGTGTGTGTTTATATGTGTTTTTCTAATCTCAATTTATTGTGTGTGTTGTATATATTTGCATATATTGCTTTTTTCCAAAAGATATCTATTTTTTTCACTGTTGTTTTGATTTTGATTTTGACAGAGCGAAGAGTGTATCATAGATGTTATAGCCAAAAAAACATTTACAAGATATATTTAAAATAAATAGTCAAGGTAGAATAATAATCGTTGATGAAGCAAACGTCTTTTACTCGTGAGAAAATGACTATATTTTTGAATCTAAGAAAAAATTTTCAGTTACTGTCTTTGGATGTATGCGCCAAGTCATCCTCCTCCGTTTGCAAATTATCATTTAACAGTGTACAACAAAAGAATTGAACCTCGTGATAACAAGAATAATTTTAGTAGCCCAGATAAAATAAAGTTTGCGTGATGGAGGGTGCTCGGCTATAGGACACTCGATGCAGTTGTTCGTTTGAAAAAGCGTGAAATTCTGGAAAAACGTCCGAAAAATCGGTTAGAGGCCCGGCCACGTTTTCTTAGAACTATCGAAAAATATACGCACCATTCTACAAGACTACAAATGTGAAGTCTAACGCACTATTTTCTGTAGTGCTTGATATTTAGAATTTTTTCAAAATGTCGGCATGGGAGCAACGTGAAAATTTTCGACTGATAATTTTTTGCGTTGAAAACAATTTTTTATGAACTATTGAATATTGTTCAACGCGCACATTTCGATATAGTAAAAATCTTTTGCTTGGTTGTGAACACATTCTGCCAAGATGTGAAAAGTTAGATGTTAGCGAAAAGGTAACAGAATTCTAAATTTTATGCGTTGATTGTAGCATATACGCTTGAATTTTGCAATGTGTCTTTCAATGCTATGTCTATTAGTGCACTCTCATGTCGACTCATTATTGGCTCTTTCCAGACACATATTTGAAAGCTGAATGAGTCACTTAGCTTAGTTAATAAGTATTAGAAGATAAAAAAAGAAAAGAGTCATTGCGAAAACTCGCCAGGGAATTAAACATACTCAGTTTAATGGTTCATGGACAAACATTTGCACGTTGAATCGAAAACAATTTTTATACATCAGAACTATTATTTCAATGGGAAAGATGTATGACGCTGCTGCTGATGATGATTCTTAAACAGAATATGGTCAATATCAGATAGTCCAGGAAAAATGGGCCACTTTTTGTTTCGATTTTCCTCAGCCGTGTTTCATTTGTTTGCGTTCATTCATACACTAGAAGATGTATCTTGAAATTCTCTAAAAAAATCGTATTCAGCATGTTATTGTAAAAGTAAGAGTGGAGGGATATATGAAAAACACTGATCAGATTTGAAATGTTCAACTACCTAACTGAAAAAACTATTTTTTCGGTTTTATTCCTTTATCTGTTGAGATACGAAAAAATCTAACTAGCCAATTTGTAGCGCTTGAAAAACTCTATCTTCCAGCTATAATTAGAGTTTTACCACATCTCAACTGATTACATGAGAATTTTTTATTTTTATTCATTCTCAGAAAAATAATTATTTTCGTACATGAGTTTCGCAGCATTGCGTAAAATCGGCATAACCCGTATAAAATCAAACTTTTGGGGTTCGGGTTTTTTCTTGTTTTATAATAGAGTGAGATGTTTTTTATATCCAAATACAAGGAACACAACATGTAGTGGCGTAACCAGGAAATGGTGGGTGCCCGGGCGGTAGTATGAATTTTTTTCTAAAATCTAGATTTCCTTCTTCATCGGTGCGACAAGGATCGATGCCCGGGCGGCACCCTGGTATGCCAGGGCTTAGTTACGCCACTAACAACATGCTGAGTGAAAAGATGAAATTTTCCTTGCTATTCAGTGGATTTCAATATGGTTACCTTTTGTATCATAGATTATGCACCATTGACGAGACCTATTTAGTTTTGTAGAGCTCGTTGACTATTCAGAAAATCTATTTCGCGGCTCCTGGGATAACGTACATTTTGTCTGTGCTCATTATACTCTTAAAGCAAATATGCCGCCAAAGCTGACATTTTTCAGGTATTTTTCAATCCCTTTGGCCGACTTTTCACTTTAAAATTTTAATATATTCTAAATTTTTGGTCCTGAACAGAATGAGTGTATTGTTATTTATTCAAAAACGTACAGTACTCCTTTTGCTTTTCATCTCCGTACATTAGCGCTAGGTAGTAAATAACAGTAAAAGCGATTATCGGGAATTTTGAAATGGTACGGATATTTTAGAGCCTTACACGTAACATTCTCATGAAAGATATAGTTTCTGGCACTTTAAGTGAAGTAGGAGTAGCGGACTTTCTTGAGAGGGAGAACAAGTCAAAAATCGATCCGAGGGATTGAAAAATACCTGAAAAATGTCAGCTTTGGCGGTATATTTGCTTTAAGAGCATAATGAGCACAGACAAAATGTACATCATCCCAGGAGCTGCGAATAGTCATCGAGCTCTACGAAACTAAATAGGTCTCATCAATGTTGCACAAACTCTTCTAAACTGTGGTAGGTATTACATGGATGTATCTTAGTTGTAGTTTAGGTAAAAGGTTGACTCATCACGAGAAATATTAGAGAACTTCTTCCTGCTGCATTAAAATATATCAGAATCAGCACTGATTAATAAACTGAGACGCAATGAGAAAAAAATTGGAAAGAAAATTCTGTTAAAAAGTTCTAAAAAATTGGAGTAACAAATTATATCGTGGTTTAGAAAACGATGAAAGATTTACTTCGTTAAAAATACAGTTTTATGGAGAATTCAACGGTGAATCGTTCTAAAAGAAATCGAAGTCTAGCAGATGAAAAAGGAAAAAGCTATTGGAAAATACTGAGACTGTCTTTGATTCATAGACATCTGTTATTTTCTACCTGCGTAACAGAGTTGTCTCAGGATATCCTATCCCTCATTAGTAGTTTGCAGGATCATATGCCAGAATAGATAGATTAATATCACATGAATGATTTGCCCTAATTGTTAAAGAATTTGACATTATTTATGGTATAGAATGTACCTGTCTGCTTTTTACTATCCAATTGAATTGTGGTTATTGTTTATATATTAATTACCTGTAGATATGTCTAATCGAAACCGATCTACTTCATCAAAAAAAGATGACCCATCATTGGCATTATCGGAAAGTTATGATGCAAAAATTGAGCCGTTGTTACGTACAATTGATCAAAGTACCAATGTTTTCTTGTCCCTTTTATTATCAACTTTCATTTCTCTTGTATTTTTGTAGTTCGATCAAAAATTTCTGACGTTGATACTGGTATTGATTTACCATCAATTGTTGTTTTGGGTGAACAAAGTTCAGGAAAAAGCAGTGTGCTGGAAGCCTTATCGGGCATTAATTTGCCGCGAGGTGGACAACATATGACAACAAAATGTAGGTAGTTTTGAACAGTTTTTCTACTAAAGAAATTCTGTTTATTTTCACCTTTTTTATTTCTGTGTTGTCTTAGGTCCATTAGAGATACGAATGCGAAAAGCAGATGATTGGCATGCATCATTGGAAAGTAAAAATAGAATAATACAAGACAATATTCAGAACCACCATGATGTTGGTCATTATATACAGTGTGAGCAAGATCGTGTCACACACGGAAGGGATCAAGTTTCAAAACAAGTTTTATCATTGAATGTTCAGGCGCCGTGGTTACCAAATTTGACGTGAGTTAACGACGTTCAATTGCATGAAAAATCGCTATAAGCATATAGCATTAGAGTCTCTATGTAAAACTTTTACATATATTTAAATATTATAGACTGATTGATCTACCAGGTATTATTCAAATAGCATCAACAAATCAAGATAAATCGTCTGTGCAAATTATTGAAGAACTTATTGCTGAATATCTCAACAAACCGTCAACAATTATATTGGCCATCATACAAAGCAACAATGATATCGAGACTTCAGCTGCCATTAAATTTGCGAAAGTGTATGATCCAGATGGTGAAAGAACCAGTAATAAGAGAAAATACTGTGTTGAAATTTTAATATGAATCTTCATTTTGATTTTAGTTGGCATATTAACAAAAGTTGATCTAGTCGATCGAGGGGCCGAAGATAAATTGTTAGAAGTCTTTCATAATAAACGAATACCTTTAAAACATGGTTATCATATGGTCAAATGTCGAACGCAAGAAGATATTGATAAAAATGTTGAACTTGGTATGTTTTACTCCTTTTTAAATTCCTGCAAGTTAATATGACCTCCTTTCCTTATGTATATGTACGAAGGCAAATGCGCTAAAAAGATTTCTTCTCTTCGAATTTATATACATTTCACATTGTTTTTGGTCACGTTAAAGAAGAATTCAACCCGTTCTGAGATCATTTAGCTCCATTTGCTATCAGCAGGAAATCTAGTACGACCCATTTCACAGCAAAGATACAAGGCGGTGATTAGTATACATCTTTGCTTGTAATTGCACTCAGACAGTACACATTCTGTGCTTATCTTAAGCCTCTTGTTTCTGGCAAAAAAAGTTTTTGTGTCTTTTACATTAATATTGTATTAGTTGTTAGGAAATGAGTTTGTATTTTATGACTTTTCTATTGTTGTGTGTAGATGAAGCTCTTCGTAGAGAAGAACAATTTTTCATTAAATCATCAAAATTTCAATCGATACCAGCTGAGAGACGCGGTTGTCCGGCATTAGCACGTCTTTTAACAAAAGAACTTATTCGCAATATCAAACATTCACTCCCACGTTTAACTGAATGTCTGAATACAAAAATAAAAAATATTGAACAACAATTTCAATATTACGGCATCGATGATTATAATCTATTAACAACTGAATTGAGAACACAACATATAACAGAATTGCTATTTACATCAATGCAAAAATTTCGAGCAGAACTACACAAAGTGGAAGAAGGAGCTCAAATTAATAACCCATTGTATCATTTTATTCATGAAATGAACGATAATTTTTATAATAAAATGCACGAAACTAAAATCGAGGGAGCCAATTTAATTCGTTTTATTAAAGAAGCGATGTATGCGTGTCAGGGCCCGGAACCAAGCGATTACATTTTATTTCGGGTGACAAAAACAGTATGTTTAAATTATATTAAAGATATCCGTCAGCCGATGGAGAAATATTTGAGTGCAATGATTGAAAAAACAAAGTATGTCGTTTGTTTACTTTAGACATCTTTTTTCATAATTTATCTTTCAATTTAGTCAAGTCATATCGAATATAATCGAAAAGTTTTTCTATCTTCGACCAAATTTATTACAACGGATGTACAATATTCATGAGGAAATTGAAAAAAAATTGAAGAGTGATTGTTATAACGAATTAGAATTGTTATTAGAAATGGAAGAAACATTTGTTTATGCAGATAACCACATCTATCGCGATACACTTCAGCAAATGAAACAATCTATACGTACACGAGATTCGTTAACATCAATTTCAAGAACTGTTTATCCAACACCTACAGTAGCAACAACATCGATGTCTACATTAAAACGTCAAATCGATGAGGAAGATGATGAATCACCACCGCCGCCAGTCAAAATATTGCGAACGAATGCAAGCCAACCATCATCATCACGTAGCGGTTTATCAGCATGTATGTATTAGTTAGCTTTAGGTACAAAAAACATTGTCGGAGTTTAATGACGTCTTTCACATTATATTTAACGAAGCAGAGGCTCAGTTGTTTTTGTTTTATTTTTACTAGAAACTCAAAAAGTATTTTTTAATTTGTCTTTGCAGTTTTGGCTTTTGCAAGCGTTTGGCCCAAAGATAATCAGGAAAATTCGAATGCTGTTAATGAAAATGAACCTAAAGAATTTCTCACATATAATAACGGTTAGCAATTGTTATTTTCTGCTTTCTAATCTCTTACCATCGGCCATCTCCTAAAAAAACTTTCAATTCTTCATTGTGTGCACAAAACATTGAGTAATTTAGGGCAGAGTTTTTCTATTCATACTGGCTTGATATTAAATTTTTTTCTTTTTTCAGATACTCGTCCACATACTGATTTTGTCTCATCTACAATTGGCATACCGATGATATCATCATCCAACCATTCCATTCTTCATCATCATTCACCAGATTTAAGTGAAGAAATTCTTGAATATAAAATTCGGATATTAGCAACATGTGATGTTATTTGTAAACGTATTGTATTATCCTATCCACAACGTTGTGAATGGTTAATTGTTCGTAAACAATTTCAACAACTCGATTTAAGATCATCGATATTAAATAATACTAGTTTGGAAAATCTTGACTTTTTGATGGCTGGTGATCCGGAAACCGAGAAAAAACGCGAAGAATTGATTCATAAACGGACCATATATAAAGAAGCTGTCAAAGATTTACAAAAACTTGAGCAAAATCAGCGAACGTAAGAAAAAAAGATTGTCAAAACTGTCAGATACCTATGTAACAATCAAATATACTTGTTTTATATTGTAATCCGCACATTGTTCTGTAACTATTGTAAATTAAGTTTTTCGTATTATGTCTGTTTTTTTTACACGCCATATGGTGTTGTCTGTTCTGTATGCTTTTTCACTCTTTATAGTGTTCACCCCCGATGTATTGTTTTTGTAACTCAATAAACTTCATAGCAAATAATTTGGGATTTTGTGTGAATATAGCTCGAGAACTATACTAATCACACAAGAAGTTTCAGTTTGTTTGGGTTTATGGATAACCGGATTATCTAATTTTTACTGAAATCCGAATAACTTCTGACCCATGGGATAATAAATTATTTCTTGCATGAGAATGTAGCGCTGAACGTCAGCTATTAATGATATAAATTGTAAGTATTGTATCTTACTGATTATTTTACAATCGCCAGTCGTGTTGTCATTTTAATAAATAGCAATAGCTCGGCCAAGAAACATTCTTAAAAATTTCTAGTAAAACATTTCTAGTAAAACTGATGTAACTCAATCAAAACTAACACGTTCAACCTGAAGTTTTTAAACGATAAAGTTCAGATTCAGTTTTGATGCTGATTTCAAATATATTATTGGTTTTGCAAAAAAATGGAAGTTTAGCGGCAAAAACTGCAAAATACGAGTGCATTTCCGTAATTTTTGCTGCCTGTTGCAAAAAAATTAATTTTCTCCACAGCGAAATATATTTTCCAAAACCGATACGTAACTTTTGTCTCTGTTGCCTGAGACTATCGGACGTTGGCACGCACGACACTTGAGCACGACATTTGGGCGCAACGACATTTGGCGCATGTACGACAAAAGCATTCAGTAAGAGTGCATTTATTAAAGTATGATGCATAACGATAAAATTTTCTTTAAACAAACTTGGTACGGTGTGAGACCTGTTTCTATATTACTCATATCCAACTGTAACCACTTTTTGTTTAATCTTCATCGATACTCACCGTTACCCATACCGGCGCCTTTGAATCTCAACTGTCGTTTCGCCCAAATGACGTGTGCCCAAATGTCGTTGTACCCAAATATCGCGCGTACCCAAGGGTCGGTATACTGTCGCCTGACGAGTAGAATAATGTATGAAAATTGAGCAAAGCTCTTCAAACAAAAAAGATGATGGGTTTGCCAGATCTGGGCGTGAGTATGTGCCTAGATGGTCCTGTTCGAGCTCGCTGAGCGAGAGAATTGTGATACAATTAGCTCGACACCTACATAACCGCACTTAGTTTTTGATGCTGAATCCGAATAAAATAGTTTCAACAAAATAGAATGGGTGCAAACAGGCAAAATCTTGAGTTTTTGCGAAACTGGTCAAATTTTCGTTTTTTAAGGGGTAACTCTTGTATTTTAAAGATATATATTAAATATTAAAAAGTACATAAGTACAATATACAAAAAGTACAAAATATTAAAAAGTACATATTTTTAACCAGCTCGTCGAGCGCTATCTACCCATGTATCATTTAGTCAAAGAGTTTTCTGCTCGACTTTTACATTTCCGGCACCCTGTAGACGTTAAGTTTTTTTCTTGAATATAATTATAACAACATCTTTGAGTACTTTCTTAAAATAAAATTTTTAATACAAAGTTCTGTTGTTTTAAAATAACATAAAGAATAACACGATAATATTCCTCAAATCGGTGTAGTAACGTTAATGAAAATGTAATGTAATTCAAGTTCTTTTCGTATTATACCTTAATGAATATAGGAGAGTCTTTTTTTTTCGTCAAAAAACGTGCATAAAAATATTTATTGGGCAGCATAATATTCCATTATAGGCATGTCGGTAAAAAATCATTAAAACATAAGTCTCATGCAGATGTAATTTTTAAACAGAAGCCACATATGACGCCTTTTTAATTTTATTTTCAAACATAATGAAACAGTAAACAACTTTCAATAACAATGAAAAGAGATTTGATGAATATTAATTAAAATTACTTTATAAAAATAAATAATATTTTCTCCATCGAAGGTTTTCATTTCCGTTATATTTCACACGTTCTTTATTGCTTCAATATAAAATCGTCAAACGATCTTGCGAGGGTGATTTTAATTCTATTATTTTTTATTCATTACTAGCAGATGAACTGGATAATTAACAAAGAAGACGTTAAATTAACTTTATAGAAATATTTTTAGTATAATAAAAAAAAATGATACCTAAATGGATCAATAGTAGTGCTTTTTTATATTGTGGATCTTTGTAAGTCAGAAGTATCCAAATTCCATCTTTAACTATAGGACTATATCAGTGATTATTATGTGATCAACGTATTAATCAATCAAGGTTGTGAAATAAGGGTAAAGCATGAAAATGGATAAAAATTAGATGTCGTATTCTCACATGCTAGCGCCATTTCAGATATATATCCAATCTCTAAGTGCTTCTGAAAATAGAATCAATAGTATTAACTTCATGTTTTCTTTTGACAGGTCATTGTTGTATACTCAAGACAACTCGTGAAATAGAAAGACTTGTAAGTGATGTTGACCACAAATGATATATGTAAAACTACATTTAAGAAATTTGGATATAGTAAGCAGTTTCCATTAGTATCAAATTATACGTGTTTAGAATGGAAAACTAAACTTTCTCAATTGCGTATTAAACGTGAACAAGAATTAGAACATCGAGTAAATGAATGTTATCGTTTACGAGATTTACATAAAAATCAATTTGATTGTTGTATAACAGCTAATAAACAAAAAGTATCTGAGCCGTTATCGACGACAACTATGATCAACGATGATCATCAAGAAAAAAGTCAAGATGTTTTATTTGAGAAAAAACACTCAATACTTCGTATCAAATATTGTCCTTTATTATACACATTAGACACGAACATTTCAACTCATCAAGAAACTTTTGTTCCAGAAAAATACGACAAACTGGTAAAAAATGAAAAAGAATTATCTATTTTGAAAGATCTTACGCAACATATACCATCAACATCTGAACAAGATCGTGAAAATACAAACGTACCATCTACTCAATTGGTCAATAAACAAATGAAATCTTCTGATGTAACAACTAAACGTTTGAGTGTGTCATCAGTCAACACTGCTGATAAACGTCGTTGTATAGTTTATGAAGAATGGCCAAATATAGAACAAATAAGTAAAATTCTTGGATATAAAATTCAACAAAAATCTATGACTCCTGCTGTGGTTGAGAAAAAATCCAGTTCTCCATTAGTAACAGGAAGATCAAAACGTCATGCATTAACTTCGGCTGCGAAGCGATTGAAACGTGAGACGAATCCTCCTTTATCGAGGAATGATCCACCAACTCTCTCGAGTCTTGCTGTTTTGGGAAGTTCACCTGTGGTCATGAATAATCTACAGATGAAGCCAGACAAAATAAAGTTACCAGACATTTTTTGCCCATCGTCCGAGAGTTATTCCACTACTATATTGATCAAACGATGGTTGATGAAAAATGATTTTTGTTCCGGATCATCGAGGACGTTACCGCTTCTATAGATGTGACATTGCATTCTGAAACAGTGAAATCTCAAATAGTTGAAAAAGCTTATTTCAAGAATCGCAGGAAGATAAAATCAAAAGATCTATAATAACTGTACCAATATGGTTATTGAACGAGAGCTATTCCACCTAATATTGATGATCTAATCAGTACATTTACTTATTGTCCTTCATGTTATGCTAATATATCGATTTTGTTGTTTTTAATTTCAAATTTTGTGGGATATATACAAAAAAAATGAACATATCTGCGTAAGTTACCAAATAGAGCAAGAAGAAGAAAGACGTACATACAAAAGTCGCTGCAACTAATCACAATGAGAAAATAACAATCGCCAAAATATATATCTTTCAGAACAATGACAAAAGTTGACTAACTTTAGAAATATCTGTTCATACACCTCCAATTAACTACATTTCTTAACAACAAGACAAAAAGTTCATATTGCACGTAGAGAAGGAAAGCAAGATACAAAATATTTATGTACAAAACAAACACTGAAAATATCAAAAATAATTGTTCTCTTTTTTCATTGAGCAAGTAGTGACACAAGTTTTGTTGGTGAAATTGGTATAGACGATCGACTTTTATTGATCGTTTCGTATAAACACAGATGACCAGAATCTTGCCAATATAAGCATTTACATATTTGACATTGATGAATCATTTCAGCATAGACTTCTCGATGACCATATCGTCTAAAACAAATTTACTTAATTCGAAATAAAATTTTATTTACAATATCTTTACCGTTTCAGTTTGAAATAAACATCTTTCCAATCACAATTGTTTTCATCATCGTTATGTTGAATAAGTTTCATTATTCTTTCACGTACATTTTCATCTACGCCAAAATGAAATAAACACAACTCTCGCCATATTAATATTTCTTTGGTTACACGATAAAGATTTGAATTTAATACACCAACGTTGATAATATCATTTCCATTATCTAATCGTCGAACAATCTCACGTTGCATTTCAACTGGAAGCCAATCAAATGTTGGCAATTCTTGTGTGTTTTGTTCATCGTTTGTTTTTGTCTAAGAATATTAAGAGTACAAAAATATTGGATATAATGGTGATTCTGTAATACGTACTAAATTGACTTGAATTTGTTTGAGTGCATCTTGCATACGAGTGAGAGTATGAATATTTCGTTGCCAACATCGTTCGCTTCCAATATAGTAAAAATATGGATACGAATCTCGAATAGAATTTCGAAATTGATTAAGAATTCGTTGAATTATGGATATATTTTGACCCGTTTTAATCACTAGAATAGTTCAAACGATATTTATTCAGAAATGTTAACAGAACTAGTTTATACTGTTAAAATCGATCAATATTCACAATTACAAAAAAGTTGTATCATACCCATATCGATCATTTGTTGTAAAATTTTGAATACCGCTGACTGAGCATTCCCACTTAATTCACTAAGTTTTTCTTTTGAAAGAAGTTGAACAACCTACACTATGATAAAAATAAGATTATAAAGTTTCATCTAATAATTATCTTGTACTAACTTTTGACACATAATTGAAACGTCTAATATTATAAACAGAATTTGCCATTTCCAACGCATCAAGAACATCACTAATACTCGCATTTGATGATGACTAAAGACAAAATTAAAATTCTTTTGATCCAGTTCGTCTCTATCTACAGAAATTATCGATAAAAAATATAATCAAAATTTTTAATCTATTTCTGCACTATTATCCGAAGTATCACATTAAAAATTATTGAAAACATAATTACAGATCCAATAATCGACGAATTCCGCTGGCGTTCCCATGATCCAAGGTCACTTTTAATCCATTGTTCGCCATTAGAACGCCAATCTCGACCTAAGAAAGGCATCGATCTTCACTTTCGTTTGTACTAATAAAAATTCCAATAACAATGAATAATTCTTTCAATGTGTATAAAAGCAAAAAAAAAACCTTCGTGTGTTTTTACTATGAAAAAATAATAAAATGTCTGAAAAACAAGAAATAGGAATTTAAACGATTTAGTTACTTTTTATACCGTTACCTTATGAAGTGAAGGACATTGAGTAGTGTGTTCAATTGTACATAAATTGTACAATTCGTCTATTTATAAAGAAAGACTTGTTCTCTTCATGTAATTTACATACGCGCCCTAATATTACGAGTAAAAAAAGAAACTGATTTTCTTTTTTTTTTGTCGTTTTTCACGTGAACTTGTATAATTTCTATATCTAAACACATGTACAGATTTTTTCTAATCATGAGATTAGAATAAAAATCCTTTTTCTTAGGGAAGTGAAGAACAGATAAAAGAGTAAAGATGTCCTCAAAAAAAAATGCGAAGAGAAGAAGATGATTTCTTCCGTTTCTTTCTCTCGATTTTGACATAACATCGTATAAAGACACATCTCGTAGAAATAATATGTTAGGGGATTCTCACATCTCTGATCTTAGCATAAACGATGTACATACGTTCAAAAGGTTGTATTGATTTATGCGGTTTTTTTCAGCTTTTTTTATATTGTCGTATATTTTTTTATATACATGTACGAATGTAGTGAAAAACATTATATAGCGGTCATTAACAGTCTGTCTTTAACAAAATAATGAAATTTTTCTAAAAATTTTGATCCATTCTGTGTATAAATCAATACGATGGATAATTACGTTGGAATAGCATATGTCTACCAACTTGCTTTAAGTTTGATTCTTCCAATATATAAGTGGAATAAATTTCCATTATAGTATTATAAAACTTAAACTATCGAGAAGCGCAAAATCAACTTAGAACAAAGGAAGACTCGAGACTCTTGTCGATTCCAATCTACTAGAAGCACTATGTTTGTATTTTCCTTATTCTTAATAAAGTTTAAACTAAGACTCGACACATGAACTTAGTTTTGTGGTAAACTGAAACAATAAGTTTCATTGTTTCTGATCTATATATTGCACAGCGACTATTTCATACCTCATCTACCTCTTCTCTCAATGGATAATTACGATTATAATCACAAAAAATCTTAAAGTCTAACTTCATTTAAGACAAAATTAAGAATTTTAAATTTAAGTTTATCTAAGATGTCGTTCGATCTGTTTTAGAAATATGACTTAATTTAGATTTGCATTAGCTGTCCAACTTTATATTAATTTAGATTCTTTATGAAAGGCACACAGGTGCGATGCACAATTCAACTTCGTTTGTATATAATACGAGTAAAATAATTGTACTAATTATCTATGTTTCTGCCAAATGGTGTATACAAATCGAACGTCTCTTTTCGTCTTGCTTCATCTTAGACGATTACGAAATTAAGTGTATGGTTTATTGACTAACATACTATCAACGGTGTTTTCTAGAAATCAGCAGTTACTATTTCTTAGTTGTCTCATTCAAGAATAGACATATCTGAGAAGCACGAATATCTACCGTTGCTGGTGCAGGGTATTTACAAATGTCAGTTTCAATAGTCCATGTCTTTCCGATAGCTGGCAAAATTCTAGTATGGTCACCTATATCTTTACTGAGTGATCCGAAACACTAAGACATAATTAACTTGCACTTATTATACGTCTTGATGGTGCGATCACAGTACCTTGAGAACTAGGATCTCTTTTTTTTCTATACATGAAAACGACGTTTGGCTTATACAACTTCTTCCGATCGAATGATTGTTTTTCAGTGGATGGGGTTGATGCGAAACGATTTATAAATACGATGCGTACTATATTTTAGAACTTATAAATTATAAATCTTTTGATTCGTTCTCGGGATAATATGTAAAATCGAATACAAGTCACAGCATGTACTTTTTTTAAAATTTTCTTATTTTCTAGTACCCTTCATGTTCATACTCACATAAAATCTATAAAAGTCTTGTGCGATGAAATCACATGATTCTGCGGTTAAGAATAAATGAATAAAATTACGAAAGAACAATTTTTTTTCCCTTTTTTTTTCATTTCTCTCATACTTATATTAGGTCTGATCTACGCATGCGCTCTCATTGAAAAATAATGAGAGACTGTGCATTTCTAGGTTTCACTTTCTACTGCGAGAGAAAGAGGAAGAAAAAACAGAGAGTTCGTTACGTAGCTGGTGCAACTCGTCTTTGTCGCGTTCTATTGTTAGAAAAAAATGAAAACGTTAAACCTGACTATAAGGATAGACAAAGAAAATATCTTTAGTTTGAAACTGAAAGTTGTTTGTCGAGTGAACACAAAATAGCCCTTTCAAAGATTTAAACTATAAACTTTTCAAAAAGTCTGGTTAATATTTGATTAAACCTCATAATCAATTCTGAAAGTAAACTACAAGCATTTCTGGAAAACTAGGAGAGGAAGAACTGTCGAGTGTTCAGCGAGGTTCTGACACCGACGCTTACACAGGTTTCCCAGCATTTTGAACAGTTAGACTCCAATTTTGAAACTTATTTTCTATTATTTACTGAAAGAACACAAAATCCATCCGGCTAGCGCGAAAGAAAAAAACAAGAATTAGAGAACGAATTAATAAACTAAAAAAATATCAATGTTTAATAAAGTTCACAAAAAACTTTTCCACAGTCTATACAGGATTCATTAAATAAATGAAAACTGAATAACAACATGTCTGTTTAAAAAATAATATTATTATTTTTAAATAATAGTGTTTAATCCAACAATTAAAAGTTTTTAAATTTATTAGTAAGAGTTAATAATGCATTAAATATATATCAATGGTTTCTATTTACGTTTATTACGGCGAAAACTATTGGATACGATGATTTCATCCAACAAAAAACAGTATATTTGTTTTCAAACTATTTTTATTTTGACATATCCTTCGAGAAAAGTCGTTCAAATTGAACCCTTTTTCGAAAAGTTCAACCGCTTCGGAGTTTTTCTTAAACAGTTGTAATTGATCTATGGGAGAAACAAAATGCAAAAAAACTCGTGATGGAATTTCATTTACGATTGCAGCAGAGTTAGCTAGCCAAACCGTTAGAGAAAATTTCTGAAAATAACCTTGATTTTTCCGCTTTCTTTTAATGAACTAACTTTAAAAAGTTTTTAGGCTTAAGCATTTTTGATATAGATTTTTCGCACCGTTTCATATTAAAAGCAACAGGTACGATAAGCCTATTTTTTTAGCACCTTTTTTTCCTCAAAAAAAAGTAAGTTGGAAATAGAACCCATTGCGGCACTTCTTGAAGAAATGTTTCATTTTTTAATGCAAAAATGACTTTAAATCAATTTTTTTAGAAATTCTTACGGAAATTATGTTTGACCTACAGTCCTTTGGTGTCAAACTCAGATTGACAAACTTGATTTTTTCAACCTGGTTGAGTAACTTTTAAACCTTCGTTCTAGACTTACACAAATCATAATTTCAACGAATGTATGATAATATATATTTATATGGGGTTCTAGAATATGTATTCTAATCAGAGACTCTCATGTACAGTATATGTATTTTTTGATTTTTTTGCGTATAAAACTGACTAGTTTCAATATTTTCACTGATTTTAACTAATTTAACTGATAGCGAACAAACAGATATTTTTTTGATGTTTTTTTTCCTACTGGCTTTTAGTTGAGGAAAATCAGGTCTTATTAATTAATTAATTGACCACGACAATACGTATGACCTGGAAAATTAGTACTAGTATAATTCAAAGAAAGACATATCTTAAGAAAATGTGTTTGTCTTATGTTTTTTCGGCTTTATTTTCAGGCTAATTTTTGGCATGCGTTTTGTTGCAAATTTATCGACACTATTAAATGATATATCGAAGTTAACTGAACGATATCAACATATTATTAACAAGTTCATGTTTCAAACAATTTATATAAGTTTGAATTTGCTATTGAGTGTTTTGTTTTTAAGGAAAGATTATCGATTTGATGCTGTTGAATGTCAAAACCCATTGGAGTTTGTAGTTGATCAATGGAAGATAGTGTTTAGTACAGAAAACAGTGCAAAATGGATACTAATCAATATTCCACCACTCTATAATCAATCTCAAATAATACCAACATTTGATGAGTACAAGCAACATGTTCTGAATAAAACATTGAACTATGCTACAGAACTGGAAGTATCAAAAGTTCACCTTGTCACGAATGATGTCATTGATTCGTCACAAATGTAAGAAATTAAATAAACGCATATTTAAAATTGATTAGGAATAGTGTCTTATTTAGATTTTCGATAGTAAATTTATTAAAACGGATTGCGCAATATTTTGCTCCACACAATATCATGTGTCTTATTGAACCACTCTCATCTCGTCCAAACTATTATTTAAGATCATACCCACAAGATCTTTTTTCTCTATTTAAAACATGCTTTTTCTTAAATTATGGTATTACAACGTTATGGATTTATCTCATTACAACGCAATACACGTAGCCCGTCGTGTTATAACGTGTTGCAAAGTTATTTTTCAAGAATTAATGGCGCTGTAAGTGGATAAAAATTTTCATTGCATTACGAGTCTATAAATTTACAGCATTATAATGTGTTTCAACTTTTTATCTGGTTACAGCGCAATTAGATTTATCTACCGCCTTATAATACGTTAGATTCTAATGTATTATAACGCGTTTAAGCTTTCTACTTCAATATAATGCGTTATAATACCTTAGATGTTTTATCTAATTATAATGCCTTACATTTGGAAAAATCTTTTATAGCGTTATAACTCATTAGATAATACATATCGTATTGTAACAAGTTAATATCTAATACATCACAATGCATTATTCTTTTCTATATCATTGCAATGAGATAAGAAAAAATGGAACTCGGCGTAACACAATAGATATTAATGCGTTATAACGAGTTAGACAATATCCAAATACATGGTTTTCTGGTAAAGGACAGATTTGCATAAAATTCGGAGACTGCCAGTCGATTCCTCTCGAAAAGTTGATCCGGGAAAAATTACTTCAACTATATCAGACATATACATTACTGACTTGAGACTTAAACATAAACTCCCTCAGCACACTTATTACCTGAGTGCTGTTACACACTCATTTACCGAATTTCTTCTAAGTAACATTCGTATATAAGAAGATAATTAACTTTTGAGTGTGACTATCACAAGCCATTTATGGCCAAATTATGGCACAAAACCATTTCCGTTAAATTTCCATGTGATCTTTGCAAATGAAACGAATCTAGCATCACTTTTAGATTCGATCGCTTCATTTTTCGAACAATATCTGCAGCTATATGATACCCACAGGATCTTTTTTCGTATTTATTGCATTATAATGCGTTACGCATATCGTAATACCTTGTAATGTGTTAGCTTTTCTATTGTGTTATAAAGCGATAAATTTAGAAAAAACCATGTCTTTAATGCATTGTAACACATTAGCGTAAAAGTTTTCGTAAACAGAGTTTCCTGCGCTTTTCTGGAATGACTATGACTGACTGGGCAGTTAATGCATTGTAATGCAATAAATTTATGTCGTTGAAACGTATGAAGAACTTCTATAGCCTTATAATGAGGTAGAACATGCATAACGCGTTGCAATGCGTTACAGATTAATGCGATAGGAATTTGAATTTGAATTTTTTAAATGCGCTGTAACCAGATAAAAAGTTGAAACACATTATAATGCTGTAAATTTATAGACTCGTAATGCAATGAAAATTTTTATCCACTTACAGCGCCATTAATTCTTGAAAAATAACTTTGCAACACGTTATAACACGACGGGCTACGTGTATTGCGTTGTAATGAGATAAATCCATAACGTTGTAATACCATAATTTAAGAAAAGGCATGTTTTATTAGTAGGAAGAGGAAGAATAATGTCGTCATTATATTGGTTGAGATGAGAGAGATAATTGATTATACAGGATGAAAGTTAACTAGAATAATCGCTACGATTCAATACCTGATAGAGAATAATCAATTATCTAAAATATACTCCTAAATGTGGTAGAATAATGCTCATGCTCAACTGAAAGCGCATAGATATGCAACGCTCCAGAGGCCATCTTTTGACGGAAGTTAGCAGTGCTATATCGAAGAAAACATAATAACGAAATGGCTATTTCTACTTTCGAATCTAGTAGCATATCAGTACTTGTTGCCACTTCTGATCCAACAGGGTATACAAATGAATAGTTCGCAGGCGTTATTGGGTCATGACCAAAACGAGTACACTCTCTGCTGGTTAAAAGATATGGTTTATGCACTTTCAAACTAAGATTTACTGTTATTGTGAAAAAGCTTTGATGTTTAAAATCTACTTGATATAAAACACAGCTAACGCATTCACAATGTGACACATATTTTTTTTCTCTCTCTCTCCGTCCCTCTTTCTTACTAAAAACTAAAACTCAAAAAGCTAGAAGAAAAATCAATTTCTTGGCGAATACTACATATGAAACTGGTAGCATAGCGTATCTACCTTTATATATGTAGTTCTATAAACTCTTAGCGTATATTCTAACTATAGAAGGGTGAGATATTACGCAATAGGCTTCAATCACATTTCAATTGCATGTTTTTTAAAAGGATTTTATGTTTTGCCTACGTGTAGAGATGTAAGCCGATCGACTGCAGTCACGACGAATGCGGAATTTTGGCGGCGAAAGGCTTGATGGGTCCAGCCGTTCGTTTTTTCCCTCTTTTGTTTCTACGGGAAGGAGTACTGGTAACATTTTCTTACTAGCCTCTTTGTCGTTATTCTTGTTATTGTGCGCGCCTTAGTTCTATGTGTTATTTCCTCAGTGTCGCTTGTTTTTTTTTAAAATGAGATTAGATAATACATAATAGTTAGCTGTGAGCGTACTGAATATAATGAAATAAAACAGTATTTTTGTAATTTTCGCGTTATTTCTCGCTCTGAAGCTGGCCGAACGCGGCGAAAAATTTGGAGTAGTACGCAGCCAGCCTCCGAAAGCTCTGAGTTTTGGCCAGCTGCCGCCGTTTTTTCATCGGTTTACATCTCTACCCACGTGTACAGTTCTTTCTTTTTCGCTCTTTGTACGGTTGTACATAGACGGTGCATTCTTCCATTATGTATTTTCTTTTTCTAATTTTTTTTTTGTTTAATATATATAGTGATGGTTTTAATAGTTTTCTTTCGTTGTGTTAAGTTATATAGAAGCAGAATATGGAAGAAGCGCACACTACTTTTACATGACCTTGTCCATGCAATTAATAGACCTTCATTGGGCCCATGAATTCCTACTATGGAGCATATAATTCACAGAGAGTCTAATCTTATATCAGTTTAAGATAAGATCTAGTTACAAAATTCCCACTGAAAACTCAATCGTGCTTCCAAAAACATACTCTTACTAATGGGTAAATCGACCAACCTTACCATGTTTCAAACATTCATCTTGGAAATGTCGTTAGTCATATTTTCTAGCTCGAACTGTGTTCTATGAATACGGTGTTTATGAATTCTAATTATCGAACGGTTTTCCCGTTATGATCAAAGTACTCGAAGCTTCCTTTTCTTGTTGAATTTGTCGTGAGGCTCTTTATATACTGATAAATACCGTACTTTGTAGAGCACAGGTCGATCTACAGAATAAGACTGGCATTGTTACCTGTGTGCACACTGTCATGCTTCTGATCTAACGTGTCTACGCTTTAATCGTTTTTTCCCGTTCATGGTATCACTTTTACCGCGTTGTTATCGCTATATTGGATCTTTGAACTTTTGTATGACAATACGAGACTTCTGCCTTGTCTTTTCCAATGTTGTTGTATACCAGTAATATATGTATTAACTATGCGCTGCTTTTTCATTCGTGTCTTTTTAGTTGTTTCTTCACCCAATAGTGGGTGACCGGTCAATTGGACGCAGGTCTTTTCGTCGCGGACATTTCGTCGCAGGTCTTTTCGTCGCGGTCATTTTGTCGCGGACAACTGGTCGCACGATTTCTTTTAACATAAGTTTTTGTGAAAAGGCTCGCAGCTATAAAAGGGAACTCCGTATGTATACATTAGAGCGATGTACCGACATCAAACTCATTTTTCGGTGCCAGAATCGTGATTGCAAACCTTGAGCAAACAATAGAGTGAAATAGATATCTTTTATTTAATTTCTTGATTTATGAATCAAACAGTAACAAAATAAACAAAGAAACCACTAGCCCATCGTGTTCACAATTTCACATTTGCTGCAATGCTCAAATTGTCCGCGACAAAATGACCGCGATGAAAAGATCGGCGACAAAATGACCGTGCGACTAAATGACCGCGACGAAAAGACCTGCGACGAATTGACCTAGCACCCCAATAGTGTTCTTCTTCTGTAATTTGCAGTAAATTGTTTTACACACATGTTTCCACAAAATCCATTAGCTGTTCTAGGAGAAGTAAGCGAAGTTACTCGCAAAATTGAAAAACTTTTTACCATGAGGAACTCCATAGATGACGATAAAGCATATTTGTTTCGCTCTTTTTTTCTGCTAAGTTCAATTAAGTTTTCAAGTTAATTCTTCTAATTTCAGGAGCTGATTTTTAAGATTTTCTCCGGATTTTCAATTGTTTTCCTGCATCGATTTTATTTTTTCCAAAACTGAGATTATGAGTTTCAGACATAGAATTTCTGAATCGAGCGTCTAAATAATTGTACATTGAAAGAGTTCAGTGTATGCTTATCGAATGAATGACAAGAAGATGAGATTAGTGAACTTCAAAACCCATCGGATCAAAATCTTCTTCCTCAATCCGTATTGCAGTCGGTAATAAATAATAATACTGTTTCACCGAACAATATTTCAAAAACACCTTTTTTGAAAAAAACTATGTTTTTCAGCAAATTATTGAAGTTTTTTGTTTTGCTTGTCAAAGAAAATAAAAAAACTCTTCTGTTTTTCTGCGGATTTCGAAAAACTGGATTTGGGTACCCTGTACTGGTTATCTGTTGGATATAAGTTTTGAGAACAAATCAGACTTTCAAAAAATAGAAAACATCATATCATTTTGTAAGAAAAATTTTATTACAATTTAAAAATATGAACATAGAGGTCTCACTTATACACTATAATTTTGTTTCATTAAAAAGATTTTTGATTTCATGCATAATCAATTCATCATTTTACTTCCAGAGTTGATTAACGAATTGTCAACATGAATAAATAAACAGTTAGGTTCACTTACACTCTACGCAGTAGTAACGTGTAAGTCGCTACTATCTGATTGTATCATCTTACATTTTAGGTTTCACGCCTAGCACACATCAAATGTAGCTTGACGGCATTTTGATATAGCATAAAATAATGGCCAACTCGAATTCTGTAGTAGTTGTGCCTCTGAGCAATGTTTTTGAAAAGTATAAAAAGAAATCGGCATCAGCAAAACAAAAAAATTCTAGTATAGTTTATTTTAAATTTGTTTTATTAACTTCTCTTATAAGATTTTTAGAAAGTAATAAATTAGCTATTTTCTCCAATCGCTAACATAATGTTTTCGCAATTAAAACACAAAAGCAGAAATTCTTTAACTTCTGATTCGTTAGTTTATTATTTTTCTCATAATGAGAAGTTAATTTAACGCCATTTTTGAAGCTATTTTACGAGGTTAGATTATTTTGATCATATGTAACAAGGGAATGAATTTATTTTCACTGAATCATAATTCATTTGTCATCTTTCTGAGCATGAGCTGTAAGATTTGAGACGTTACTTAAATAGTTCTCTCGCTTTTCTACTTTACAGATCATAAAAATTAGACACTGTTATTTTTCAGATGGATACTTCTACAAACAACTCATGCGGTTTACCTAATAAAATGTTAACAGGTTTAACATCTGTTAAATCAAATTTATCACAAGGTCACATTTTGGAAAAACGTGAAACAAATTATGTAAATAATCGTGATAATTTTAATTTAAATATGGCACGTAGTGTACTGGGTATTCAGGCACCATTAAAATTAAAAACAGAACTCGAATTGGCAAAAAAAATTGGTCGTCTCCCATGTTTACCTAGTTCAAGGTTGATGCTCGATGTTTTACGTGGTACAAATGAAGATATTTCCTTTGATGATATTTTGAATAATCAACGTGAATTTTGTGAAGTGCAAGTTGATCCACATTTAGCCATGGATAAACGAGATCAATTATTTTAAAATAAAAGTTATACTTCGATTGATTATTCGAGATAAATAAAGAGGAGACATAGTTCAATTCTATCTTTCTTTTCTATTCTTGCTGTTGTTTTTCCTTCTTAATAAAAATGATAAAATATTATTAATTTTCTCTCAATAGATATTTTAGACCAAGAGACAAAAATTTAGGTGTTTGATACTCTATCTTTATTTTGTCTTTGTCTTTTTTGTTTTAGATTATTATGTTTGAAAATTTATCAAGATTCGATATTTAATTTAATTACACAATATGCCAAAGTTTACCCGAAAAAGTAATGTTTATATTTCTATTAAATATGGCAATCAAATTCTTGTCTGTTAAGTTGAGATGAAACTGTTCGACTTAAGAAATATGTTAGAAATCTACATTTGCCAAAGTATTTTTTCATTGCTTAAAGTTTTTTGTTTTTTATTAAGATAAAGCCTCTCGGCCATCTCCGAAGAGCGCTGCTACAGATGATAATATGTCAATCGATGATGGTGTCAGCGTCTGCAGTAATATTTCTGATGGCACAAGTTTATATGATGAATTCGAAGGTAAACTTCTTTTTTATTTTACTACAATTACTTATTGAATTAGTTTTTAATCTTCCAGGTGCTGCTAATACCGATCCAAATGTAGATATGTCATCTGATGATTTGGAATCAAAACTTGATACTTCTATTGTAGATATAAGAAATAAAGAGTAAGTTTACGTCAACACATTTACCTTCCACATTTCTCAAGGGTACTTTTGAACAAACTTTTACATCTATCAGTCTACCTGAAATCAATCTTCTTTTACTTTCGAACTTTGCTCTCTCACTTTCTGTTGCAGTTTGAAAACACGTGAAACAGCGTTACGGACATTACAGACATTGTTCTCACAAAAATATATGTACGACATGATTCTTAGTCGGTATGTTTCATTTGCAGTACAATTTTTACATTGACTCTTTCACTATTCTTTCGTTACTGTAGGAAAGAAAATATCATCGAACAGTTATTAGCTTGTCTAAAGAAAGGGGGTGAAGTTGAAGGAAGATTAGCACCACATGTTATTTCATTATTTATGATACAACTCGGTATTCAAGATGAAGATTTATATCAAAGATTTCATGATATTCTATTGACAATAGTTCGAGATAATACGAAACCAAGTAGTATACGCTCAAGTTGTGCTCATGCCATTGGTATTACAAATTATATTGCTGGCGATGATATACTGGTTAGTTTTATTATGTCACAATATAACAACATTAGAATAAAAACATATTATTACTACTATATAATTGTCTTTTCTAGAATACCTATGAATTAACAAAATCACTTGAAAATATATTTTCAAAATCTTATTTAACGGAAGATGGAACAGTAGCACCAGTCTCAAATGAATTACAACAACTTCATACAGCATGTTTATCATCTTGGGGTTTATTATTGACAGCTATGCCTGACGGTCAAGCAGATGATCTTCTCAAAACATATTTGGTAAAAATACCTGATCTAATTGAAAGCAACGATGCTGAACTGCGAAACGTTGCTGGTGAAACAATCGCTGTTATGTATGAAATAGCACGAGATATAAATAGTGTATGTCCTCTTGTATTTGATCTCTTTCATCAAACTACGCTCTCTTCTGTACACTTCTAGGTTTATACAGAACCAGATGATTATCTGTTAGACTTGTTACAATTAAAAGCCAGTGAAAGTGCAAAATATAAAGGAAAAAAAGAAAAACGTTTACAGCGAGCTACGTTTCGTGAAATTTACAATTCATTTGAGGTAAATTGAAAAAAATAAATAGATGCTTTGTTAACAACTATTCTTTACTTTCAAGCAAGGAACGTCACCTCAATTTGAAGTTAAATTCGGCCGAGAAACATTAGAGATTAACACTTGGATTAAACGATTACATTACAATACCTTTAGTCGTTTATTGGGCACTGGAATGAATACACATTTAAAAGTATGTGTTATGTTTGAATAAGTATTCTATTTTGATATAGTGAATTGAGTAACGTATCAGAGAACAGCACGGACCGACAATTTCTAGCACAGCCAAGAAAAGTTGAGGCCCAGGTCCGGCCCGATGCGATCAACCTTAAAAATTGTTGAGTCCAGCCCAACGACGAAAAGTTGAGGCTCGAGTTCGGTCCGACCCTTTTCAATTGTTTACGATCTCCTGCATCCTTAATGCTGATAGCTTTTATTGATAAATTGGTATAAATATGCCTGTACCACAACTGTATCATTTATATTTACATGTTCTTTTGTTCTTACTTCTTCGTTTGTATGCACTAGATGTGCATTTCTGAGAAAAGATAAAAGCTGGCTACACGCAAGATAAAGTGGTATTAATAGACTGCTCTTTCCGTTATGCTATCTAAGAAAAGTCCTCTGCCCCATCCGACAAAGAAAACTTAAGGTCCGAGCCCAGTGTCCGACCCGATCGGTTTGCTTTCTAGCCCAGCCCGGTCCGACCAAAAGCTCGACCCGTGCTGATCTCTGTAATATATATGCGTTAGATATTCGGATTGAAATGAAAAACTTTTGAGAAAAGCAATCTGTATGCTTTTACATTTTACTTTTAGGAGAACGTATTTATACGAAACGTGTTTGGGATGGACGATCCTGAAGCAGAAGAAACTGGATCCTCTAAGGGCAATAAGTTTGAAAGAGTAAGTACGATTGACTTGACAGATACTGTCCTACACAAGAAGATAAAACTGACACTATCGATGAAAAAGGTTCTGCTTGAGTTGACGTGCTACAACAAACGCTACGAAAAATGTGTAGTATTGTAACACTTTCTTCATAAAATTCAAGATCACACAAAGCTTGGGAGATCAAATTGTGTCCATAGGTTATTTTTCTATTGTTCTTTTCTTCATTTGCAGTAGATCCTTAGGTTTTTTTTCCAATGCAAAGATCTATAAAAAACGTTTCGAATTTTGATCCTTCTCTAATAATGTTGATTTTCTTTATTTCGACAACTCTTCGAAACTGTTCGATCACATTCACATGTATATCTCATCTTAATTTCGTTTTGTGTAATTTTGAGTGGAGTTGCTATATATAACGATGTTGAACACCAGTCAGATTTTTAAGAAACGAAAATGAGATGACATCGTTATTTGTATCATTGTGTGTGTAAACTTACTACATCTATGCTGCTCAGTGCTTTTTATTCGATGTCATATCGTTTTTTCTTTTCAGCAATTTTTTTTGTAGTGAAACGTTGATTGTTTCGACATTTCTTGATTCCATTGTTTTGTTGTGTTATCTCTCCAGCATTGTTTGGTTTTCATTTCGAATAGCGAGGGATTAGTCCACAAAATTTTTTTGTTCTTATCCGACAAGACTATGTGAATTACTTTAAACAGATTTCAAAAATCTAATAAGTGGGATACTTTGGAAGATATTGCTTTATCCTGAACCGAAGAAATACGTAAAATTCTATAATATAAATCAAACGAAAAAACATATAACGATACATAAGAAAAGTACAGACAATAACAATAACTGTAAAAAATAAACTGTAAAACAAACATGGTCCACCTACCAAACAAGGTATTCTCACCATCCATGTCTTCTGTTTTTATTTTTATATTAGCAACAACAACGAATCTAGATTTCAACTTTCGAAGAGGATGATGATAATAATAAAACAAGATGTTCAAATTCAACATCGCCAAGGAAAACGAAAGAAAACATAATGTTTTATCAATAGAGGCGCGTATTCTTCCATCAAAATTAATTCACACAATTTATTGTATTCAATATTATCAGTTATGACCAAACAATTACTACTACAAATGCTACATATTTTCTTATTTAATTCTTATATAAATCAATTTTTTGAACATCTGATACGAACTTTTCCATGAATCGCCTTTGGAAGAGAATTGAGAAAATATCAGTTATCAATAGTAACAGACGACATTGATTATGCTCTGAATTATTCGTCACGTAACAAAAAAAACCAAAGAAAAAATTAATCAATACATTGAATGGAACTAAAATTGAACATTTAACAGAAGATAGGATTAAAAAAGATTGGAAAAACGTATGCCCATATGACAACATATTCGAAGCAATCAACAACAAAGACAATTTATGATATAGACTTAAATAGTTCAGAAGCAGATAATTTGACTTTGAATGAATAACCTTCGGATGATAATGATTTATCAGAGACAAATGATTAGATAGATTGCGATGTTGAACAGTTAAGATCTATTGGATGGCAATGGTATTAAGAATATCCATTTCTTCGATAGATTTGATGTAAACGCAATAGAAAACGTTTGTGTACTATATTTGACAACATATATTCCAAAGCTAGCGAATTTTTACTTTGGTGTCAAAATTAGTGATACTACAAATTATTTACACAAACAAACAACATGTTTGGGTTGTTACACACAATAAAAATTGTTTATGAAAATACGGATAAGAATCTGGTGTTGTTTTTTATCTTAACTATTTTCTGTTAGCACCTTTAGAGAAGTGAGAACATCTTAGTTTTTTGTTCTTGACAAACGATAGTGTTTTATTTTATCTCCTATAGAGATATTTTCATCTGAAATATACAACAAAAGATGTCAAAGCAATAAGAAAACGAACGATGAAAGAAATCTTCGTCGAACAGGATTTGATCTCTCAACACATTTGTCATATTGAATTTCATTACTGTAAAAGCATTCATTAAAAAAAATTTGTTTTTTTTGTATTTTTTAGCAACTGGCAAATAAAGCTGCATTTAAATCCAGAACACAAGCACTGAAAAAAACACGTGAAAATAAACAAACTCGCACATATCATGTTGAAGATTGAGAACAACTAGTAATTGAAGATTTTATGATTTTTCCGTTATTATTTGTTGATCTTTTTTTCATGTATAACAAAAATTTATTTGAATAGACTCAATAAACAAATTTGTAACTTCATGTGCGTGCTATTTCTATTGTATTCTATCAGAAAGATTATTTGTGTTATGTACATATAGAAAACTATCATAAAATCAAGAAACTTCAAAATTGAGACAACTAACGCCTATTATAAAAAGTTACAGACTCTAAATCACTTTTTTCCAAGTATATTTTTTTCTTCTAGGAAAATATGATTGATCTTTTTTTTTCTCACTCTATTTTGGTTTGTCTATCCAAGAAGGAAGTGGATATCCAACGAACATATCTGCTGAAAATACCTTTTAATGCGTTCATTATACTTCGTACTAATATGCGATAGTCCTTATCTTTTTCTCATTAGATTTGTATATTTTTTTATGCCAGTTTAACAGTAACTTACGATTTCTTTTTTTTTGCTGGTTTCACTTCATTTTTTTAGTCTTTCTCTTTCTCTTTCCTAATTATTCTCGCTTTTTTGTATAACGGTCAAAAAAACGTTCTGGTCAGTCAGCAAATATTTTATTGTATTTTTTTCTTTTCTTTCTTTATTCGTCTATATTGATAAACTCTAAAAACCATTGAGTATATAGAAGAGCTTTACGGATTGAGTGAATATTTTGATTATTGATGATTTTTGTCGTTTATTTTTTTATTCGCTGTAGATATCTCTTTTCTCTGAGTTTTATTTCTGATGTGTCTTTTTTTGAAGGTTGGGGAGAGGGTGTTTTGGCATGATAGTAGTCCTTTACTTAGACGTTAGTTTTTTTTCAAGCTCTAAAACGTTCACAAAACATGGTTTAACGCTGAAATTTATCTAAATTTTTATTTTATATTCTCAAAGATTAAGCGTATTCAACCTTTTTATAATATCAGCGGTTTTCAGTTCCTTTACTAATTCAGTGTACACTACATGTGCATTTATTTTCATTATCCGAATTAGTTATAACTGGAAATGATGAGTTTGTATATAGTCTTTGAACTGAGCAAACGAAAAAAAGTCTCAATTTAAAACTTAGGGAATATTTTGCTTTTCGGTAAGTAACGTTGACGAAGTGTATTTTCTATTGTATTTTTTTTCTCATCCTGTTTATTTTATTTCACTGGGTCTGTTTTTTTCTTCTCCATTGTTTTTTCTGAAATTAGAAAAAAAATAGATAACAATTTTCTGCAAAAATGACTCAGGCTTGTATCTTTTGCCCTATTTCATGAGTGCTGAGTGTGTATAATTTTATTTATTTTTTTTTTCAGAAAATAAAATTATATATTAATACACGCGTTTTTTTTTCTTCTTCTTCTTCATATGTAAATATATCATTTACGGACAATACAGAAATGCGAAAATCTGAAATTTTTTTATTGTTTCCAATGTGTATCTATGCAGAAGTGAGTTTTAGTTTTTCTTCATTCACCAACAGATATTCGTACAATAAAGAGTAGTCAAACATACAATTCATTCAGTATTCTGATTACAAAAGAGTCGAGGAAAATAGTCTAGAATGTGGTTTGTTTCAGCTGTTTCATTACAAATTTTGTGCATATATCGATTCGATTATATCGGCATTGTTTTTTTTCTTCTTACTTACCATCGGGAAGTACATCAGAATAAATTTTATTCTCTCCGTCAAGTAGAACAAAAGAAAAATGATCATATAACTCGATATCACTATAATAATGAAAGGAAAATATCATTTCAAATACGAAAATCGAATATTGTACGTAATATATGTTCAAAATAAATATCTTCTTTGATTGTTGTACTAAGCATTGAACAAAATCCTAAAAATTCATCTTTTCCTACTTCACCATTTTTTTGACCATACGTATCGAATTTATTGAAAAAGTTACGTAATGCCTGAATAAGAAAGATATCGTATTGTGTACGAAGATACTCAACATATATATATATTTTTTCTTTTTCTTCTATCATAATGAATAATACCTGATCCACTGTTTGCTTGTTTGTTTTTGAAGATTGTATTTTATCAGAATATTTAGTCTGATTGAAATAGAAAATTCAAATTTAATTATGAACAACAAAGACAATGTATATACGTACTCGAAGATCAGAGATAGTTAATACTCCATCTTTATTTATATCTGTTGAATTGAATATGTTTAGTGCTGCTTTTAATCGTCTATCGTTCATTTCTGGTCGTAATTGTCGTATGAATTCTTTTAAATCAATTTGACTAATTCATAAAAGAAAAGAATAGTGCAATGATACAAAATCTGTATAAATTTTCTAACCCATTCTTTGTTGTGTCAAATTGACGAAATAATGCTTTCGTATCATCATCACTAATATCCAATTTTAATGCTTTTACTGCGAAATGCAGTTCTTGTATACTTATTCGTCCTGAACAGTCTGAATAAAAAACAATAATACAATCTAATAATAGTAATAATACTTCAACAGTGCAGACCTCGATCGATTGTGTGAAATATTTCGATTAAGTCAGATTGTCTGGTTGTGCTTTCTAATAGTTTTTGGCGAAATAATTCCATAATATAATTCTATGTCTAAGAAATATAGCGTAGGAAGAATAATAAAAATATGCAATAACAAACCGTATCGTTCTCTGTATCATAAAAAACGCAAAAAGGATATATTATTGTCTATAATCTGATGGAAGATATTTGTGCCGTTAAGTGTTATTACACGTTAGTTATTCATCAGACCAAAAAAGGACGAGAGATGATTAACATGTTTTTTTTGTCCACAATAATTTTGATTTTTCCGATGGAAACTATGTTATAGTACCATTGGGAGTATACTCCTATCACTTAATTTCATCAAAATTCAATGTGAGATTTTTGATGCCTGTGTGTGTTCATCGAAACATACATCATCAACTATTCTGAGAAGAAAGTAAAAATCTTCAGAAAAAATTTTTTTAGTTAAAGATTTTATATAAGTTCTTCTCCGAATTTCTCTGGAAGAGGAAGAACAAGGAGTGAAAGTTTGTACAGGAAGGAATTGCTGAAAATCTGAAAATTTTACTCATCCTATACCCCAAACTAACGCAGAATCTTAATAAAATTAAAACAAATTAATGTAAACGTACACGTTCGGGACATAGGTTTCATCCAGCCTCACCTTAATTCATTATGTATTAATGGCGGAGTTACATTTTAGACCCAAGGCCTGCGCTGGTAAACGTTTTTTTCCAGGATAGTATAATTTGAGAGCAAAATTCAGTTTTTATCACTTGTCAATTCTAGAAACATTTTCTTCTTATTAAAAAAACCATTTTTATTCCTTATAAAAGTAATTAAGAAATCTATTTATCTATCTATCTATCTATCTATCTATCTATGGGAAATCAAACAGTTTTGATGTTGTAATATTAATCAGATGATTAAAAAACGTAAAAAATAAGACAATATTTTTTGTTGTACAGTTTACTGTACCTTAAGCATGAGGTCTTCAGTCAATGAGTGAAGTACAAGAAGCGATGCAATTTTTCACATTCTCTCAGAATATAAGTTAAAAAAGAGAAAGAAAAACTGATGTGCAGCAGCAGATGGAAAACTCAAAAGCAGAAAACGGCTAAAGATTTTGAGAATAATTCGTTTGATTTTTTGTTCTATTAATTAAAACACAATTTTTAGACAACCTAAGTATTTTTTTCTAGAATTTTTCTTACGGCCACAATGGCAGAATATCTTCAGCGACGACACATCGACTGATCTTTTTCCTACCTTAGTGGAAAAAAAAAGAATGAAGGTGCTGTTGTAAGCTTTATCGTATATTGTAGTAGGACAAAGAACAAATCATTCTAATGATTAGTATACGATAAAGAGATTCAGCTGTTAGCTGTTTCTTTCCCTTTTTCAGAACAAGATCTAGATCTATTAATCATTGTACTTTTTTTATCTTCGTTATTTGTAGTTTAGAATATTTTTCTCTTGTCTAGGCACATACCGGTTAAAAAACCGATATTTTTTATCTTCTCTTCCAAGTACATTATATAAAAAGTATGATATATTAAATGTTTTACTACAACTGAGCAAACATTTCTCTACGAAAATGAGCTGTAGAAGAGACTCTTTTCGTCTTTTCTCTTTTTGTTGCCATCGGCTTTCTAAGAGCCCCATTTATCGGTTTCTATTATAACCGAAACCGATAAATGGGGCTCTTAGGAAATACTTTTTTTTATTAGTGCTGGATTGTTCTTATAGCTCATTTTATAGACAAATGTTTGCTCTACAAAACTCAGTTGTAGTAAAACATCTAATATGCCATACTTTTTATACAATATATTTACGAAAAAAAAACATATATCGATTTTTAATCGGTGCATGCTCCTGCCATGATTTTGATGATATTTTATACAATGTTCTATCTTTAATGAATTAATTAGTTAATAAATCCATGAATGAAAACATCTTGAGAATAATTCATACTAGAAACAAGATAGAGTTGAGTTCTTGTCACTAATGATAATGGCATTAAAAGGTCATCGTCAAATAGTCGATGATAAATGATAGCATATGATCGGCTTTTATCAAGTAGTAGACGAATGACGCAAAATAACCATAAGATTCATTTGGAAACACGTTTTTATGACAATTAACTTCTAAAAAAAGCAAAAGTGGAGAAAATAGTGCGTTTCATCCACTAAATATTGTAACCTGCCGTCTACTAATCAAGATGTTTTGAAACTTTCTTTGTAAGATTTTGTCATCCTATTTGACTGTCTGTCCGTCCCATTGATATTTGCTGTTCTATATTTAGCAGTTTTTACTCTATTTTTGTAAGTGTAAAGCAAAAACGACCCATTCTAAAAGAAAATGGAAATCACAACATATTTGAGAAATGAATACATAAAAAACTACAAAACATCTGTTGTGCGTTTTTTGTTGAGTTTTTTTTCTAGATATGCAACCAGTTCCGATTAACTTTGTCTGTGAAAATCGAAAAAACTGTTAAACTGTAACTCGGAAAACTGTTTAAAAACTTTTTAATGCAAATTTAATAGATTTTAATGCACAATGGATTCATTTTGTGAAAATAAACTAAAACTTATTCTGAAAAGGTGTCTGAGAACCCGTCATAAGGTGAAAAAAGCCATGTGGACTTATTAGACAAAAAAAGATAATGAGTAATGCAGAATTCAAAAATGGCCACGTGGAAACTAAGAGTCTATGTTGAAGGACGAACTTTTTTTTTATTCATTTGGCTTTTTTAAACTTATGACAAGTTCTCAATTAACTTTTCTGAAAAAGTTCAACGTGCTTTAAATTTTTATTAAGTTTACATTAAAAATGTTTTTCAACAGTTAAAGTGGAGATAAGAAGTTTAAGGACAAAAATATTTTCGACTTTTTTTTCGCTACGACGAGAGCTGGAGGAAAGGCAAAAACTGATTTAAATAGCTAAAAATATTTCCGATCAAATGAGGTGCATATGAAAATGTCATAAATATCGCTAGAAACTTGATATTTAGAAAATAAAGATTTCAGAAAACTCTAATTTCCGACGTCTCAAAGTTCGAACAGAAACTTTTTGAAAAAAACTGTCATATAGATCAAACGTCGTTCTGAACAAAAGCAGACGTCGTCTCTTCAAGCTATTCAAATCAGTTTTTGCCTTTCGTTCAGTTCGAAAAATAATCGAAAATATTTTTGTCCCTAACTTTTCGCCTCCACTTTATTTAGATAGTTGTGGTTATCATCAGTGTCAATTTAAACATCTCAGGTTATAGTTTGATAGTTTTAACAGCTACGGTTTAATATTGTCACAGCAATAGTAACTGGTAAAAAACAACAACAGTGCATACTTATTTTCTTTCATAAGACAAACGAAAACAAAAACAAAAAAATGACCTGGTTTTCAATGAATAGGAAAATAAAGTATGAGAAAAGTAGGTCAAATATATTAACAACGAACCAGCACGTCTAACAATATAAAATACTATTAAGAATCGCAAGAGATTGCAGTGTTATTTCTCTGGAAGTTTAAGTATACAAGGTCACTTTTGGTTTATATAAATCAACTAGTGATTGTATTGTCAAAACTTACGTATCGACCATAGTTAGAAGTTCATCAATATTTGTTTTACCATAGCGTGCTACATATTGCCTTAATCGTGTTCGAAATACTTTAGCTCGAACAACATTTCGTTGTCGTACTTCATCTAATTGTTGTTGTTGTCGTCTATGATTTACTTCAGGTAATTTATCGTATTTCTTTTTCGTTGCTTGTTTCATTGCTTGATAATTTTGAAATGGACGATTCAATGTTGTTGAAGGAATAGTGTAACAAATATTATTACTGCGTCCTTCTGTTCTTGAAGAATGTGGACGATTTATATGATGATTTTTTGTTCGTTTTCGTTGATCATATGCTGATATGGGACGCTTTTTTTTATCACAAGAGCAACATGAACGATGAGATTGTGGCCGTGAAGGTTGAAATAATAATTGTCGTTCATAATTAAATTCAGCATTATGTTTACGTTCTTCACGCAATAGTTTTATTTTTCTTACACGTTGTCGTGATCGAGATATAAAATCTGGTCTTAATAATTCAAGTGCTTCTTGTAGTGACATTAAATCCTCATTATTATGATTGTGTTTAACTGGACTCAATGAACGATTTCGACTATAACGTGTTGGTGAAATTGATCGATTTCGAATATTATGTTGTTGTGTTGATTTTTTTAAATTTGTTGATGATCTATGACGGCGATTATTATTAGTACTAGAACGATAAAGATACGAAGATGGTAATGGCGGACGATCAGTTGAGTCTAATATGGCAGCACGATGACGTTGAGTTTGTAAACGATGTAATAAATTTTCACATCGTTGTGCTAAATCGGCTAACTCTGGATCATCATCATATTTTCTCGACCAAAAACCAGATGATGTTGGTATAATTTCTGTATCATCTTTCTTGATTAATGCTGATTTCGATTTATGATGATTCTGTTGATGATCGGGTCGTGCATTATTTAAAGAAGAGATACGATTCGATGATGTATAAGTATTATATCGTGGAACATCTTCTTCAACACAATTTTGATCGTTTTCATCTACAAACTTTCCTGTTCGAACAAAATTATTTAGTCTTTCGTAAAACTTTTTATCACGTTTGTCACTCACACTGTTCATGTTCGTTGCCGTTGTATGGTGCATTTGGTTCTGAGATGACGCCGGTTTATTATCATCACCATCATTATCATCGTCATCGTAAACATTTATTTTTATATTAACTCGATCTTGGTTTTTTTTCTTTTCATATTCTATCGGCATCTCTTTTGGATCCTTCTTATTCTTCTCATCAACATTTTTTAATGGAGTTTTCTCAGAATTTTGTTTTTTGAATAGATTCAAATCATCGTGATTATTTCTCTGATGTTGTTGTTGTTGGTGGTGGTCGAGTGAACATGTTGATTTATCGTCATGCTGATGTTTTGATTTATCGTCATTGGTTGTTAAATTCAATATGTTCTGTGCTGTCTTATCTTCTTCGTCGTCGTTTGTCCATTGTGCAATAACTGAATGATTTTTTCCATTAATCTGATGCTTTTTCTCGTTTGATGATGAATCAGATGTAGTTGTAGCTGATTTTTTTATCTGATCTGCTTCACTACTAGTCCAATCACCTGCTAGTAATTTTTCTACCTTTTCTAATAATTGACGTTTATTCAATGGATTTTCTTTTTTGTTGTGTTCCACTTGGTCTTTATTATTATTGTTATTATCGTCGTCATCTTCGTTATCATCAAGAGGAATAAAAAAGTTTTGTTGTTGTGATGTTGACCTTTTTCTTGTCGTTTTTTTACGATCGTTCTTATAATTTTTTCCATTTGAATCGTTATCATGTTTTAAACTAAATGCATGATAAGTTGACATTCGTTCATCATTATTCGTATTGTTTTCTCGATTATTAGTTTTTGTTTTAACTAGATGATTTATTTTTGTTAATGTTGTTTCATGCAATAATTTTTCAGCTTTTTTACGTTCATGTCTTGTATGCCGTTCTAATTCTTGTAAACGCTGTTCATTTTGTTGACAATCACGAACAATAGCCTCTAATAATTCAATCGATGGTTTTTCAGGGGTTGTTTCATGTTCAGCTGACATCATAGGTTTTTTTTCTTTTGTTGACAGTTTGTTTAAAATCACATGTTCCTCTTTTTCAGCGTATGAAAGTGAACAGTATAATCAATTGATAATGACAAGTGTAAACAAGAAAAATGAGGATTAATTGTAAACGACACTAAACAGCAAAATGAAAAAAAATAAAAAAAAATAGTTCAATTTTAAAAACTGATCTAATACATCTCTTTGAAAGACATACGAAGTCAAATGTAGAAATGTATAAAACACGACAATGAGTTAATAGAAAAGACTTCACTTTTTCGTTTTTTTTTTGTTCTTTCTTTACTTTTTTGAAAACAAAAACGTCCTGAACGATTGTGGTGAGTTGTTTCGTCAGCCAATTCCATATACATAGATCACTTTTAAATTAACGCAAGAATAGAAAAAAGAAAGAAAAAAGAAGAAGAAAGGAACAATTCACCAAGATGTGTGTGTATGTTTGAAATAGAAACGAGATGAGCCTTGGCAACCACCTCACTACTGTGTGCGGTTGATGGTGGTAGTGGTGGAACTGATGTAGTTTAAACATGGAAAACGTGAAGAAAGAAGAATTAAATGGATAGTTATAATAAAAAGAAACTGTTTTTTAATTTTTAAAAAACAGAATCTATTTCTAAACGTATGCCATTGTATTAAAACAAATAGTAGTCGAACTTTTAAACTATCAGTATAAAGGTGTAGTATTCAACTTCATAACCACGTTCTTCTTGAAAATACATGTTTTACCTAACCTCGTCGAGAATGTTTGCCATTACCCTCATTATTAGTTTGTTGAGCGTGTTATATAAGGTTGCGTATCGATTAGGGGGTGGTCCTCGTTTGGATACACTTACTCAAAAAATTTTGACTTACTCAAATTTTTTAAGAAATTTAAGTTGAGAAACTGCCTTTCTTTTATGCACCTGAGTAAGTGATTTTCTCTAGCTTCTGAGTAACTCATTTTTTTCTGAGTAACTTAGTTACTCAGAACAAAATTTTAGTCAAAAAATGCGTTACTCAATAAAAAACTTTAGTTACTCAGCAGGCTCGCCACCCCCCCACCAAAACTACTATCGAAAACACTGCTTAACTGCTTTGCTCATTTGTTGTTAATACGTTGCAACATAGTTTTCAAATATATATTTTGTCAAATTAAATAAACTTCAGTTAAAATTGTAGACTTATATTCAAAAGTTAGAAAAATAATTAATATATTACATTTATTTTTAAAATTTTAGAGCGCTGCGAGACTAAATATCAAAGTAAGCTAAAAAATTAGAACTACTTTATTTCTTTACAGAATTTTTCATCATTTTACTTCAGCACATGTCTGGCAAATACGTTGCTGTTCTTCGTCGGTTTCATAATTTTGTCCGAAGATAATTTTACCACAATAAAAACCTACAAAAAAGAAATAAATGATATGATCATAAATTTACAAGGTAAACATTTATTTCTTATTTACATCGAAAACATTCAATATGATATGATTTATTCTGAAATTTTCTTGATTGTGCACCGGGTGCAAAAGGTCGCTGACAGATGGCACATAATTTAGCAAATTGTTCCATATGACAATCAACACAATATGGTTTCTCATTATTTTCTACATACGAAATATTTGCTAATGATTGTTGACAACCTTCACAACAAAAACAACTTCCATGCAAATTTTTATCTTTATATTGTACATAACTACCATCGATCAATTCATTGCACACCGAACATGTTATAGTTGGTATCAAACGTTGTTGACAATCGGAGCAACGATATTCATTATCTGATAATGTATAGAATGAATGCTTTATTGGTTGATTACACGTATTGCAAACAAAACAGTGTTGGTGATATTCTATATTGTTGTATCTTGATTTAGTATCTCCATTCACAAATAATTTCGAACAGTTTGCGCATCTACTCATTATTTATTAGTAATGTAGTAGATAACCTGTACTGTGCAAATAACTTTCTAAAATATAAAATAATGAGAAAAAGAGAGAATACAACCTTATAAATACAATAATGATACGGATTAAAAAAGCAAATTTTAAATATTTTCAATATGACATGTTCTATATAAAAAGATGAAAAAGGAGAAAAAAAACTAACATATGTTCGAATAGAGACCACATTACTCACCATTAAATGAAATTTTTTATCACTCATATCTATAATAGGTAAATAGAGAATTAGTCAGTTCTGTCCTCGACTATTGATAAATCGACGTTCATGTTTATTGTATCATGCAATGAATTCAGATGTCAGCCTTCGATTTCAAGGATCTTTTGCTCAAAGATCCTATATAGTAGCCTGGCAAAAACCGTAAAAGGATGTGGGTCCCTATTGTTTCATTCAAAACTTATGACTTTTTCTATTTTGCCAATACAGTGCATTACATAAAACATTGAAAAGTTCATAACTCAGTGAGCATACGGTATGAAGCTACAGGAAAAATTTTCAGTCCTTCATACCGCGTTTTCAATGTTCTATGTAATGCACTGCATCAGCAAAATAGAAAAATTCATAACTTTTGAATGAAGTAATAGGGACCCAAATTCATTTAGGGTTTTTGCTACGTCAATATCTAGGATTTATGGACAAAAGATCATTGAAATTAGAGGTTGACATCTGAAAAGGTTCCCTCGTAAGTATCATTAGCCTTGTGAGTATTTATTAAATACACTTTTATATACAAGAAGTTCTCACTATCAGGCATATAGAAGATGTCCCTCTACACTCATCACCGGCATCCGTGTCAAGGACTATAACAGATCAGCTGCTGGTTCTTTGACTGAGATCGACAAAAAAAAGGAATAGATGCGGAAGTACACTGATGGATAATGTACTTTATGCTGTACAAATATGATTTGCGAAGCGTCAATTACAGAACTCAGCCACGAGAGAGTTAACGAGTGGACTACCGTTTTGTTAGGTATTTCTATGGATTCGAGCCCGCTCAGACCTTCATGCTGATGTTATCAAATTGTTTGTGAGAGCAATTATAATCGTTAATAATACCCACTAACTCCCATTCAACATACCGTCAACAGTCAATAAAACGAATATTTTTGTACCCATTCTTCCGTGAGATAAAACTATTATCTTTAATCCTGAAAAAACGGTTGGTAAGATAGTGTGGTTGTAAACTCGGATATGTTGATGATACGTTTCTGCTGAACATCTTCTTTACTTAGACGATACACGAAAGTTGTTTCTGCAAGAACGTAGAAGTTTGTCCATGAAAAATCTATGTATTTCAACGATCTGTTTCAGTTTCAGAAGTTTTTTTTTATATCAACATATAGAAAAATGTTCGATCTATCACTATGTCTATTAGTAATAAAACGGTAGTATTTAGAGATGTCTCTTTTTATCTTCAAATATTCTATTTTTTAGATGATTGCTCGTTCTACATTTTTGAAAATAGCCTTATCTGGAATATTTTTTTTCGGTATTGGTGTTGTCGCACTAAATTTTATATCGTATAGTAAACGGCAAGATAATTTTCAGCCACCGGATGATGCAAATGCTCATTTCTCATCCAAAGATCGAGATATGAATCAGATTAAATCAGATCTCGAATCAAATAATAAACCAGAGACAAAACTAGGGACAATACCAGAATTCTCGGTTAACGGAAGGACAATACAATTAGGACAAACGAAAGTAAGAAATTATCTTATAATCTTTTTTGTTGTTTTTTTATCGAAATGTATTGTTAGGATCAAAATGTATTTGTTCGAGATTGTGGGAAAAGTCCTTATAGCGTATTACTCTTACATGGACAATCATTTACTTCAAAAAATTGGAAAGATATTGGAACAATACAATATCTATGTTCATGGGGGTACAAGGCTATTGCGGTTGATCTTCCAGGTTTGTATAAAAAGAGATTATCTTGAAGTTCTGAGACAAATTAATTTGAACCACTCATCAATACTTGCGGTCAGACTTAAGAAGCTGAAGTTTCACAATTTGAAATTTGAAACTGAGTTTAATTCTGATAACATTGTAACTATGGAAGAAAGAAATACTGTCAAGTAGTATTAGCAGTTAGGTTTTGTAACTCGATTATTAAACAAAGCTTTTTTGTTCTTTTACGTGTAGGTTATGGAAATTCCTCGTTGCCTGTTATTGAAGAAAAATTTGTTGTGCAATGGTTCACAAAATTAATTCGTACTCTACGTTTATCACATACTGTTGTAGTTAGCCCATCAATGAGTGGTCGTTTTACTATTCCTTATATCATGGACAGTGAAAAATCGTTGAAACCTATATTAGATGGGTTTGTCCCAATCTCTCCAGTTTATACAGAAAAATACAGCAAAACGGACTTTACACATGTCACTGTGAGTTGTCTGAAATGTGAATTCGAATGGAAACATAATTTAATTAGTTTTCTTTAGATTCCAACATTGATTGTTTATGGAGAAAATGATACTAAATTTCAATCAGCGATAGACACCTTAAAACTCATACCTAATAACACATTGTTGACAATTAAAAATGCATCACATGCTTGTTACATTGATCGACCAAATGACTTTCATAATGGACTACGCCAATTTCTCTATTCAATTTACCGTCCACACATGATACAGCAGAAACTTAATCGTCGATTATCGTCCTCGCTAGCATCAATACCTTTAAAAAGGAAAAAACTGAAAATAAATGACTAATGTTTGTAGTTCTGTTTCTAAACTCTGTAAATGTTGCTCCGTTTCTTTTTTCTACATTTATATTGAAACATACTTTTCAATTTGTATCATTTTTGAAGATGTTCTAGGTGTTTATCATTCTATGACATATGCTGGAAGTTATATACTTTCATTACATATAATGTGTCTTTGCCCATTTATTGTCAACATTTAATAATGGCGTCGTACTTTTCAGTCTTGCACTGAACTCTGTGATAGACTTTTAATTTTTTTGTATATAATCTAAACAACTTAATTGAATTTCAAATCTCAGTTTTATATCTGTAGTTTTATTCCGTCTAACGGACTTTCATTTCTCTCTTGTTTTATTTAAATTTTTTACATTTTCTGTCTGTGCGTTCACGATGTTAATCGTTTAGCCTTGGTCTAATTTGTTACATTTGCTAATGAGGATGTGCTTTTAAAATAAGCATAATCAGCCGCAGACTGTCTATGAGAGAAAAAAATAGCTTGTTACATTTGTATCTTGAAAAATGATTAAAACTATTGAAGAATAAGATCATGTTAATCTTAGGTGATGCGGCAGAAAGTTTTAAACTATTTCAACACGTGTACATTTTTTGCACTTTTTGGATATTAAACTTGTTGTACAGTTGTTTCACATTACTACATTTTATTTCTAGTTTCAAAGAGATACATATTTTCACATATCCAAAGGGAAAACTAACAATGCACATATTAGTAAACAAAAATAAACAGTTACATATAAATCTAACAAAAAAATGACACAAACAATCAATAATACTTTGTATACATATGACATACACAATATCATTCTAATAGTACATCAACGTCCACTATACAAATATACACGACTTACGTAATTAAGTTCTAAGGAAAAACATGAACGAAAGGTACGAAATATAATAATGAGAAATGAGCAAAAGTTGCGATAATAAATTCGTACTTTCAATTATTAAAATTGGAAATCAAAAAAATAAAATAAAAGTATGTGGTGTTCGACTGTCATTGAAAAAACGTTGAAAAAAATGAGACAAAAACCCGCACGGATAGACTACATGAAGTTTTTGACAAAATAAATACCATGTTTTGATTCTGTTGTATTCACCACATTATTTGCGCTAATTATTGTTTTGTCGGCCACGTTCTGCTCTATTAGATGAGTTTTTGTCCGATTTCTTTAGTCGCTTCAACGCTGAATCTTGAAAAGATAAAAAAAAGTTGAAACAAACTAGTACGACGAAAATGTTGAACGATATATATCAGACATCACAAAAATATTCCACACTATAATCTTTCTATAATTCTTAGCAGAAAGTGGACCTTCGACTAAAGCATACAGACGCTCTATCTGGCAAACAATAAAACATGCTTGCTTCATACCTTGTTGTGTGCTGTCTTCATCTTCAATGTCTAACATTTTTTTCTTTTTCGAACGTTCGGTCGGTCTTGATTCATTATCATCATTTTTAGTTTGTTCGTTCATTACTTCTCGTTTCTTTGCATTTCTTGTTCTTGCTGTTATCAAATCGTTTTCAACATCTTTTTCTTGCTTCTTCGGTTTTGATTTGATCAAGGGTTTCTCCACGGCAGCAACAGACTGTTGCTCTTCATCTTTGCTTTTATCCGCAATCACACTACTATCTTTCTTCGTTTGTCTGGTAATTCGACTTGTGGTTGTTGCTTCATGTTCAGATGGTGCAACTTCTACTTGAGGTGACTTTGCTACACGTACACTCTTTTTAGCCTTCTTCGCTGGTGGAGGCAGTGATGACACGATATCCTCGCTACTGTCACTCGGCTTTTTAGCTGTTTTTCGATGATTTGTGCTGAAATAGTCAAAACAGAATGTGAATTATTCATGTACACTGGAAAATACTTATGCAAAATACGGCCACATTCATTCATTCGTGGATATAAAAAACATAAAACAGTACTTACACAACTTCATCTTCAGTCTCCGCTACGATTGATTTTGATGATTTACTGCGTGTTGTTCTAGATGTTGACGGATCGTTTTTGTCAACGTTTTCATTAGCTATTTTCGAAATGATCGGTTCTTCTTTCGCCTTTTTTATTTGTATTGTTGAATCGGGAGCAGCCTTTCGACGTCGCGATCGAGTTTGATTGCTATGAGTTGAGTTGTCGACTTCCGATAGTATATCAGTTATCTGACTATGTGTTGGCTGTGTGCTGCTTTTTGTTTTTCTCGATGTTTTGGTCTTTTTTATTTTGGAAGGCTCTGATTGTTTGTTCGATGTTGATTCACCATCATCTGTGCTTTTCGTTTCTTTTTCAATTGGTTGGCGCTGTTTCTTTTTCCTTGTTGGTACTGAGAGAACAACTTCACTACGGTCTTCTGAGATCACTTTTGATTTGGATTTTGACGTTTGTCTTGTAGTTCGACTTCTAGTTTGTCCCTCAGTTGATGATGGATCATCTTCTTCTTGTTCAGTCTTATCGACAATCATTTGCGGTGATGGTTGTTTCGACTTTGCATTCCGCCCTCGAGATTTTGATGTAGTGGAAGGAGGTAGTGACGCTCCAACGTCTTCTTCAAGCGAATCGTCATTGACCACAAAAGTATTATGTTTCGAATATAACTTTCGGCGCCCGGTTTGCTGTGCAAGCTCTTCATCATTATTCATCGTTTGAGATTTGTCTGTTTTTGATTTGGATGTCTTCGCCCTTTTTGTCGTTTTCACTTTGTCTTCTTCACCTTGCTGTTTTCGTTTGGATTCTAATTCTTCTTCCTCTTTACGTTCTTTCTCTTGTAATCGTGTTTCTGTCGATGGCGTAAACTGAAATCGAACAGAGCGTGGGTGGGCAAAATCCTTCAGTGTAAGAGACATAACTTGTTGATAGTGTGGTATTCGTTGAGAAAGTGAATGTAATGGCGTCGTTTGTTGTTGCAAATTTCGACGAGCGATTAATGGCAATGGTGTCGTTTGCTGTTGAGAAGTTTGTCGGGGAGGTGGTGCACATAATGGTGTTGTTTGACAACTGCCAGAGACTGGCGTTGAACGAAGATTGAAACGCGGTGTTGTTTGACAAGAACTGCTGACAGTGGCGGATATGAGTGGTGTTGTTTGTTGGGCACTCTGAAGACGAGTAACGAGACTTGGTGTTGTCTGACACGCTAAAGTGGTTTTTGTTTGTTTAGGTGTTGCTTGTATATCACCATTTGTGATGATATGAACTACAATCGAAACATAAAAAAGTGCTCTGTTCAAAAAGTGGCGCTGGATAATTATTTTTTCTTAATTTTCTCTCATTCTTCCTTCATTCTGTTGCTGTGCTTTTAACGTAGTAAAAATTGTTTGCGATCGCATTTCTAAGCAAGAATGGTCTTGTCAACCACTAACTCAATCATTCATTACAGGAATGTGTATACCCACTAATATGATCATAAGTGAAAAAGTTTGTACTACAACATCGGAAAAAGAAATAACTTGAAATACTCACCGACAGCGATATCAACTGCTGACACTTTCTGCTGTATACTGCATCGTGACTCATTGACCTGTGATATCTCAGTTGCCTCTTCATTCTTCGATTCCGACTCATTTTCAGATTCATTGATGTTTTCGTGTTCATAATTATTTTTATTGCCTTCATCGTCATTTTCATTCATTTGAATAACCGAAACTTCTTCAATGACATCTTGTTGTTCTGAATTATCATTATCATCATCGATTAGTTCGAACGCTTTCGGTTGCATCACATAACTTGACGATGTTGGTGATGGTGGTAACTGTTGAACTCGTGCAACAGTCGTTAATTGTTCATCATCAACCAAATTGATTGTAATCATTTGGCGAGATGGTGTTGATGAATACAACGGATGCAAGCCAGTTTGTGGGGTGAGCGTTGCCCCTTGCTGCTCTC